TCCAAGGGGAAGCAAAGGAATAAAGCACATGGAAACCGCTAGGCTTGAGGAACTCCATATCACAGTTACATAGTGCCTTGAAATGAGACTACTGATTCAGTCTGGAGCCACCAGTCAGGATATTTTTAAGGAGTTTCTTACAGTACTTTAGCAAATAATTACTCTCAAATGCCAATGAAAGTAGCTTGTGCGTTTAAGAACAATACCAACTATAAACCAGCTATAGAAGGGGGAAAACTGCAGAGGGATGCAAGACATTTTAAGCATAAGAATTGCTGTAAATCTTGGAGGCAATCTCTTCAAGAATCATAATTCACAAAAGTGGAGTCCTGAAGTGAAGAGCGTTTGGGTAAAAACTTTTTAAAGATTTTAAACAGGTCCTTAAATGCTTTATTGAACAGCAATGGACTTAATTAGTAGCTGAAGCATTTTCTGAATTAAGACAAAAGCTAGCTGAGAAAAGTCAAGAGATGGCTGATGAACACTGATGGTGAAAAATGCAAGACACTTTTTAATCAGAGAGTCTTCCATCTTCTCAGCCTGTGCTGTTCTATGATGGAAAAGGCCATGGCTTTTAAGAGCAATGGAGGCCTTTATAGACGCATAACCTTTAATTCTGAGTAGCTAATGGCTAGTTGAGAATGTATACTTACAAGGGTAATTGTTATCCATATCACAAACTTATTGTAAAGCTTCTCTTTAAGAAAATAGACTGTTCCCCTATTAAAAATGGTAAGAGAAGGCAACTAAAAAATGGATTATAATCTTTTGTACAGAATTCTGAAATTGCTTTTGTGACAGATGACACTTCACCAAGTTGGCTGCCACTACCACTCAGCTCAGAGAGGCCAACATAGTTAACTTTTATAGTATCCTAGTATTGTGCATTAATGTCAGAATACTCAAAACAGACCAAAATTGGAGCAATTTTTAAAGAAACATGAAATTTTGTTATTATTTCTAAATAATGTGTGCTCAACCATTTCATTTACATACAGACATACAGACATTATGCAAGCTATAGCCCTAATAGCTGGCAATCTAAAAATTGTAACACATAAAATATTCCCAATAAATGGTTTTCACTTGCAACTAGAGAAAAAAAGAGCAAAGAACCCACAGAAATACAATGACACACTACTGAAAATATATTTTCTTTTAAAAATAGGTACAAGTTCAACTTGTTTGTAGCTGAAATAGTTATCTCTAAAAATCTCTATCAACTGTAAATTGCACTCTGAGACAGAAACTCTAGCTTTTCATCTTGCAGTTTAATTCGTTGTATCATCAGCACTGGAGGAAATTTCAGAAGAGGTGTGTGCAGATGTGCAGCTCTAAGTATCAGGGCCAGGACCACAAGCAAAAAGTCACAAAGCATACATTGTAAACCTTAATAAGCTGGATGATAGCCAGCAACACTTAAACGTCACTAGCTTTTCCTCTTTAATTACAATTGTTGAAGAATTCTACGTTTACCTTGTTAAAAACTCCACCACAGCATCTCCCAGAAATTCCAAACGCTCATTGTGATTGATCCTGAAAAAGATATTTTGAGATTTACTTTCAGTTAAATAATACATACCGGTTATTTGCAGAAGGAAGTTAAAATAGAACAAGTCTGACTTGCTTGGTGATCAGACAGGAATAGCTGTTCTTGCAGTCTCCTCTACTCTCTCTGGGCCACATCCTTTCCAAAGTACAGTAATGACTATGCGAATCATGAAACTCAGGACTGGCACTGCAGTCTTTGAAATTTTTGTATATTCTACTCTGAGCTATTGTCAGAGCTTAACAAATGGAGAGAAAAAAACAGTATTGTTGAGTGGCACTGTGCAACGGAATACTGAGACGGGGTTTCTTTGTGCCTCAGAGGACACCAGGTGATTTGAAGTATATGACCATCTTTCTTGTGCGTGCCATCGGGGAGGTGTACATAGCAACATCAGCACCTGCAGGGTATTATGACTCTGCAGTAGATTTGTTGGTATGTCAGAGCTACAAGGAGCAAGTTCTTTTATTTTTCATAGCACCTTTAAATACCATGCAGAAGTGCGCTCTACTCTGTTTTCTGCAATATCCTTTGTGCTCAAAAGAAAAATTACTGGAGAATAAGATGCATTCAAAGATGCTATTAGTAGAATCTTATATTCTCTGTGTTTTCCTTTTTATACCCTCTATTGTTTTTTTTCTATGAATGTTCCTGATTTTCCTTTGTTTTGCAAAAAGTTTCTTTTCCTCCAAACTCTCTCCTTGCTTATTTAACAAATGAATAACAGGATACAGCAGCCAAAAAAGAACGGGAGTTGAATTATGTCATAGAACATATAAAAATTTCTCCTGTACACCTTGAAGCATGTAAGTAGTACCATTTTGGCTTCATATATGTGATAGCAACAGAATCAAGGCCATAGCTGCAAGAAATTTTTTATGCAGTAGATCCTTCTCAAGTGGTTGACAGTTTTTATTGTAATTTGCACTCCCTCCAGTAATCATCTAGTTTTTCTGACTTTGGAAATAGCAGGCCTTTGTTTATGGGCTGAAAGCGTTCAAGGACCTGTGCTGTGTAAAACAATAAAGTGTGAGCAATACCGTAACTCCTCTTTGTACGGGCATAGTGGAAAAAGCAGATCTCTCAGAAGCAGGATTTTATATTTGTGTATTATTTCGTGAGAATTAAATACAATATAGCCTTATCTCATATTGTCTTAAGAGAGCTAAGATAACCCTTCAAGATGACCCTCAAAGAAGAGGGCTTCATCTAGCTGAAACAGCGTTTGGGGAATGCTATGACAATCACTTATTCAGAATTCAACCTCTGCCACTCCCCAGTTCCTATGTGATGACTCTTTCAAAAGGTCCAGTTACAGCACTAGCTAACTAATATACACTCTACCCTCTGTTTCATGCCTTCAGGCGATTTCGCATACAACTGGTTCTTGCATTAGTCCTGTAAGCTTTTTTACTCATTTTTGCCTAAACGTGGTGCTTATCTGTGCTTAAAAGTTACTGATTTGCACACAATTCTTAGTGGTCAGTCAAGGATTATTACATTTAAACATCAATGGTTCAGCCTTTTGTCCCCAGCTGTTTAGGCATATGTCTTTAAACTGGACCAGTACATCTTTCAAGCCCACGTCCCGTATCACACTCACGTTAACAAGGTGCCATGCTACAAAGGTACTGCTGTGAGGGAAGGTGATAGAAAATCCAATTTGTAATAGTGGTAACAATAATAATGAATCTTATTTTTCATTCTGCAGAAAGTAAAAGATAGTCTTTTAGCTTTCCTGAAGGTACCCAAGCAGGAATGACAGAATTATCTGTTAAAAGCTTCCTCAGGTGTTTTCTGCAGGCACAACCAAGCATTTACCATGTTACTGCAAAGGGAGGTTCATTAGACTTTCAGAAAATAAAAGGCAATTCAAAATGACCTTCCATTTCAACTGTTTGCCAAAGTTGTTGCTGACAGTAAGTTGGCTGATTTTATTACACCTCTCCCTCTGCAAAAGTTTCCCTACTTGCAAATAAACCATACAACATGCTGCACAAACCTCGAGTCTATTATTTTCATTACCTGGAAGGAGCTGGATCATCCTGACCCAAACGGGACATAATATTTATCAAGGTATTTATCCCTACAAATATAAACAATGAACAGTTAAATAAACAACCACTCATTCAACCGGAATAGGCTTAGAAAATAATTACTTAACATGTTACTTTGTAATTGCTATACACAAGATCATTCTGTTGTTTACAGGGTTTACTTACAGCAGATATAATCTTTGCAGACGCTCCCTGCCTAACTGACAGCCTTCCCATTACAAGCTGCTTTTGTATTTTTGCATTCAGAGAGCCAGACAAAAATATCACTTTTGCATGAAAAAGACATGCCAAACATTACACAAGTAATAAAGAATTTACATCACTACAGCTGAATACACTTTTAAGGGGTAAAAGAGTATTCTGCAGCAGACAGACCACCTATTTTCATGTTAATAAGACTTCAGCATTTTTACAAAATATCCTCCCATATACTCAACTATATTGAACAGCAAATTCTAAAAAAAAAGAAAAAAATTGCCAAAAAACAAAAACTCTTATTTATTATCCTGGCTTCTTTTCAGCTGCTCATTTATTGACTAATTTGCAAAAGCCAGCTATTTAGAAAGATCTCACTCTTGTCTGTGTATAACGTCTGAAATTCTCCATTACAGCTGTATCTCAGAAGAATAAAGACCAATGAAACAACAACGAACAGATGTTTTTCTTACTGATTAAGCATGAGGTGAGAAAAATGGTAGCGGTGTAACTGCATACCTTTTTTTCTCATGTGCATATGGTGAACTTTTCTATCTCCATATTTTGGTTGTCGAATTCCACAGTTGGATAAGGAATTTCTGGCATGGTCTGGATTCATTCCAAAGTTTAAGTGATGGCTTGGATGAGTCATGGCAAGCTATAACATAGCACATACAAAGACAAAAAGAGTCTTAGATGTATTTTTGCAAATGCAGAAAATGCAGCTTAGATTGGTAGCTAATAAACGTTATTTTTTTACTTTGAAGAAAAGCTACAAAGTGAGGTCGTCAATTAGTAACTTGGTTCCAGCAATTTAAATGTAGGATGTACTATTTTGGATGTCAGAAAGAGGCAACGTTTATGTCCAATCATCACTTTAGCTAATTAACTTTCAACCTTTTTTTTAAAAAGAAATAAATTAGTTTTGAAGAAAAAAAAGCAGGAACTGTCAATTCACCCTAGAGGTTTTTGCTTACAATCTTTGCTGATTTAATTTAAGTATAACCACGTTTGCTTATTTAAAAATATATTCTTTTTAATACTGCAGCTTGAACCTTCATATTAAAAATATGGACAAATAAAGAGTGCCTCAACTGTTCACCTACTAGATTGAGGTTATTTACATATCAGTAAACATTTCCTACTTCAAAAAAAAAAAACCCAACAAGAAACAAACATGTTATCTCTGACATAGTTATTCACAGCAGAGCTCTTCCTCACATGACTGTACAGGGCCACTCTTCAAATGAAAGCGAACAGCAATGGCAGGATTGGTCTTTTGTTTTACATTTGTACAATCTGACATTATCAAAAGCTTACTTCTCGACTGCTGGCACTATAAAAATGGCAGATGGGAGACATCAGCTCACTTTTATGACTTCATCCTGCAAACTCATGCATTTTCTCTTGCATCACACATACACACTTAAAAACAGTATACATGTATAAATGTATGTGTACACACACTTTATATTTAAATAAGAGATACACTGGTAATCTCAGTATCTGAGGTTTGGAACATTACTTCTGAAAACGTGCAGGACAGACACTGAAGGCTGTAAGCAAAGAAATGCCAATAGCTCTCCGTGCTCGTCATTCAAACAATGGCTGTGGAATGCCAAAAGTAAGAGTTGTAGAAAAGTTTGTTTTAGTTGCTGAAAGAATAAAATGGCATTCAATCAACAATACAAACTTTCTTCAAATCCTTTTTAGTTCTTCACTAGTAAGTTTGCTATAATCGCACTTTCTCAATTTCTGCTCTATCTGAAATAGATGAGACACTACATCTTGTCAGAATGGTTAAATTGGCACAGTCCTTCTAAAAAAAGTAAACATGATGAAACGTATAAAATTCAATGTAAAATTATATATCTGATATTGCCTAGGCAAAGTTATGTCACCGGTGCTACATAAATTTTATTTACATACAGCAAGTTTCCAGAATAAGGTATTTGGGCTTAAACAAACATGCACAGGGATCAAGAATTAAAAAGTACATTTGTTATAACTAATCATTAATCTGACTAATTCTGCCAAACTTGATTTTATGCTTTCTCCCCCTTTGGATTGCAATTTCTGTTTTGGTTTATGTGTTTGGTCTCACCACTTCAAAGACTTCTGTGATTGTACTTTTATCTTTCATACTAAAAACAAGGCAGCCTGCAAACAATCAAAACCTAAAAAATGCTCAATGTTTACTGTAGTTTTCAGTATTGCAGGCCGTAGAAACCAACTTAAGAGAAAAAAGAGAAACTACGAGAAAAGATCATTTATCAGTAAGTCTCCACTTACTTAACACAAAATATTTTGGGAATGAAGCCTCATCCCCCTACAGAAACTGCATTTTTCTTAGGGAAAATTCATCTATCCAAGCCCCATCCACAGTTAGGGGAGAAAGACTGGCTCTTTTGGGGGAGACCCGCAACAGAAGTCGATTGCCCATCAGTAACTTGGGAAGAAATGTAAGGGGAAGGGGCCACCCATGCCTAGCGGTAGCCTTCTGGAGCCAACCAATTCCAAAAAATGCACTTCCATAAATGACTGGTCACGCAACACAGATGCATTTAAAAAAAACAAGAAACTCCTCCCTCAAGTTCTCAGCCCTTGCTTGTAAACGTGAAAATTTCATCATGTTCTTGTAGAAAGCTAGAGTCACATGGAAGTTTGCAAATTCCTTTGCACTAGGTATAAACACAAAGTAAAAAGGCAATCCTGAAGTTATCCTTTTTTGGAAGAACCACCTACAAAAGGAAGAAGCAAGACATGGACTCATACATAGAAAAACACTGTATTCTTCACAAATATCTAATAAAAGAATCAACTAGGAAATAATGTATAACATACCTGCCAATCTTTTCAGTAAGTGTATTTTTGTCTTTCTACATGTTACAGGCAAATTCAGACCTACCACTGAGAAAACATAAGTGTGCCTACATGCACAATCAGATATCTAATTTATTTAAAAGTCTCTTGGGACAACTGAAGCTTTTGAAAGATCTGCAGCGCAAATAATTAGGTATTTTCACGTTGCAGCATAGCAACTCATTTCTATGAAATTGTAAAGCAAGCAGGATTTGCACAAACCCAATAATTTCAGGAAGATAAAAGAGCAAGTCATTATTTTTTTTGCACATCTTACCTGCAGCAAGCACCTATCGCGAAAAGTGTAGCCTATCAATTTGTCCAAATGCATGAGACACTGATGGTAGCGAATATGGTGGGTGAGGACAGGAAGCATCATTGCATGCTAAAAAAAACAATACAGAACTGCAATAAGGAAAAGTGTTAAATTTCAGCATACAGAGGACTCGGCAGATTAAGCTGTAAACACAAACATATTCTATTTCTCATAACACTGTCAATTCTACTCCGTTTTGGTTTAAATGAGAAAAATAAAGAAACCATAGCTTTCTACTCCTCAGCAGCCAAACACTGAAGTAAATTAGATTTTGTCCATCTGTATAATCACAAAACAAAACAAAGAAAACCGTCTGCTATTGTGCTATCTTGAATGTGGTAAAGAGATGTCTGGTCAGCAGTAAGGTCAAGATTCAGCAAGCTGTGACTGAAAATGACACTAGCTCCTTGAGGACTCTACTGCAGTTTTTGGTTAGTAGAAAAAAAAAACTCAAAAATAAACAAAAAAACCCCAACCTCCCCCCCACAAAAACAACCAGCATTTCCTTCTAATAGCATTAGCGAAGGACCACTTTATACCACTTTTATCAGCATTTACCAAACAATAGCAACTCCTTCATTTTCAAACACAGTTAATACCATCTTGCTTCATTTCCTTCTGAGGAAAGATTAACAGCTAATGGGGAAAGCTGTAGTCTAGCAATTCCTGAGACAATGTGCTAAAAAAAAAAAAAAAGGTTGGAAAGGTTGTTGTTTGATCATCCAGGAAACAGATAATATTTTTCTGTCAGGAAAAACTTCAACAAAAATTAAACTAACTGTATGTTGCGACAACAAAATGTCTCCTTCTTTCAACTTTTTAAAACCAGAACTCTACACAGGTACTCATCCAGGATTTTGGATGGATCTGGATTGAAATAATCAACATACGAGCAAGTAATATAGTTTACACAAGTCTGATGATATCAGCCTCAAAAATCTTGCATAAGAGTGAAAAGTAAGAGAGCTACAGTAGAAATATCAATACTTAAAGAATTTTATCCATGTAACCATTTTTATGACACTGATACCAAATTTTAATTCTCTTAATCATTCATATTTGTGGCATTATATGCATACATTCAAAAGAACAAGGTGTTGAATAAGAGTTGAAATCTGAGAGCTATCCATATTTCAGAAAAAGTGGAATGTGTGTGATTGCAGAAGAGGAACAGATAGCAAGGATACCTGTAAGAAAAACAAGTATGCAAAGCAGAAGATATAATTTATAGGATTCAGTGATCTTATGGCTTTCTGCAGGTCATGCACAGCAGAGAAAGAATAGCAGAAGAATGAACTAGTGAATATTAAGATATTGTGAAGTTAAGGATAATCAATAGCAAAGCTTTCCATTAAGGAAAAGCAAAACGAAACAAAACAAAACAACAAAAAAATCCAGAAGACTTCCTGAAGCTCTTTACAACTGAACACATAACTAGTTTTCTTCCACCATTACCTTTGCACTGTTCAGCTAACTGCAAGGCAGTGGCTCCCTGGACCTCTGCATGACAAAAGAATGCCAAACTACTGCCCGCAAACTGAATAAAGGTAGGTGAATTTTATTTTGTTCCCATGTCATACACTCAGCGTTTCTTAGCGTAATTTACAAGCAGGGGGAACACTCCTCATATCCCCTTATAAGCTCTACAGAAGTGCTTCTAGTCTCTTCCTCCGATGAAGGACTTAAAAAAAAACCCTTCATTGGACAACTCTACTTTCCTGTCTGTATGGTCCACTGCAGAGGCCCCTAGACAATAAAAACAGTCCCTCAGGCAATTTGTAATATTATTTATACTTGGCAACCAACACACACAGCCCTAAGTTTGAGGGTCTGGAATACAAAGTTTTCGATTTTACCAGCTGTGCTATAGTGAATGAGGAATTGATATCTCCCTGGGAGGCACACAGAAGGTCTTTAATTTGACTCCTGCAGTTATACTGGCAGAGTGATGCTTTCATGGCACTAAATACTTGATTGATTCAATTAATGTATGTCATGTTGGATTACAGCTATTTAATGTTTCTGATGCTTTATTCATCTCTTTATAAGAAACTGTAAAATAACATGCTTTAAAAATTGTATTACAATGAAGTATGGTTAGTGATCAAAAACAGTTTATCCTGAAACCATACAGCAACAGGCCATAGGAGTTATCCAATAACCTTGGTATACCTGAATCTGGTTATAAATATATGTCCTTTCATTTTTTTAAATATAATTTTAACTGTGTTGTATATTCTTTTCTTGCTACAGCTGATGCCACAAGGTGGTGGAGTCTCCCAGCCTGCCCCCGGCTCTCCAGCAGTGCCGCCGTCCCCAGGCTCGCAGGAGACGGCTGCTTCTTCAGAGCTGCCAGCATGACCGCCAAGGCAGTCGCTCCCTAACCTGAAGCTACCAAAAGAGCCAGGTAAGCTGAAATATTTTGAAACACGTCATTTCTCTCCTAACTCCGAGTGCTAGCACAGCTGCTAAGGGCACACGGGAAGCAATACAACCCTGCAAGGCTGCGTAGCTAGCTGCCGCCCAATTTAGTGGCGTAAAAGGACGCACTTCATCTACTGGAGAATTTTAAATGAGTCTGATAGAAGAGAGACATTTTCAATTTTCAGAACACTTCACTCACCCTTCTTCCTTCCACTTTGAGTGGTTCATTTTGGAAACCATGAGGACGAGTACTACTACTGCTGCATGGAACATGGAGCAACATTAGAGTGCTTCAGTGGCTTAAGAGTTTCAATCTTCTAAACTAAAATGCTTCTATAAGTTAAAGCAAACCAGTAATTTTAAATCACTGCCCTTTAGCTTTGCCCACAGAGTTGATTTACATATGTTTAGTGTTAGTATTCTTTAAGCCGGGGAAAAAAAACGTGCAACAGCAATACTAAACTTTCATTTTACAGACACACAGTTTGCCTACCAAATCAAATGACGTTCATACCAGAACAGACTAGTTTAGATGTTACGGCTGTGGATGCGCACAAAAACATGAAATAGCTCATTGCTCTTTGTCTATTTGTTGTTCTTCAACAGCAAACAGGAGCATCCAATGAGATGTCAAAATACGTATCATAGAAGGTATTATGAATAACACATGGAACTGTTGCAAAGCTCCTAAATAAGAAATTTACACTGTTGACTTAACCTGTAAAAATAGCTACGGTTTACCACAAAAATGAGAAAAGGACTGCAAGTTTCCTCAGCTACATGAGAAGACATTGTTCCATTATTCTCTTTCTTCAACCTCAAAAGCAATAGCAGAATCAAAAGAAATGTTTTAGAGAGAAGGAAAACAGTTTTTGTTTCTCCTGCTAGAATTTCTCCTTTGGCCTTACCAAGGTTCCAAGACAACAACAGGATTTCTAACTATACCTTTTCCAAGTGACCTCCTATGTTTATACTTCATATTCCTAGGTTTATTAAATTTTGAGCATTTAATTCTTAACTAAGATCTCCAAAACAACACCTAAAATATAACCTCATTATACTGCTGCTTTTGCTAGGGTATTCGATCTTTGCTAATAAATACATTATTGTATAAAAACTGCACTTACTATCCTATTTGCTTAACCCTTTTGTTTGTAATCAAAAAGTTTGTGGCTGTCATCTGCTTTGGAATAGGATCCTGCAGAGATTTGTACCTTGGAAACGTCATGCATATGAAACATTAATGTACTTGAAAGATTTCTTTCTACTAAGAAACCATGTTTTTTAAACCAAAAGGTAGGAACCTTTTTTCCTTTAAATAAAAAGACTAGCCTCTATGCTTCCTTTCAAAAAAAAAAACCCAAAAACCAAAAAAGGTATAAAAATCTCAAAATAGAAAAATATCTAAAATAAAAAAATCTAAAACCTACCCAGTTCATGGAAGAAATCCTAGAAGTTCACGATTAAACTCAGCTTTTGGCTGATATAAGTCAAGGCTACTGCATCTCAAACCTCCAGCCCCAAACCACCCATTTCCGGCCCCCCCTTTCGTGGTAATCAACTAGTTGTCAGGCCAGTGCAAGGTACTAGAAAACTACACCTATAAAACAGCTTTCTTCTGTGGCTACAGTAGTTCCCCAAACACACAGATCACGTTGAGGCAAAGGTATTAATTTCCAGTGGTTGGTTCTTCAGCTGAAAATCAGAGCATCACCCTTGCAAGAGGTAAGCGGCAGTTACCGACAAAAGAAAATGCATCAGCCGTCTCTCCAGTTTAGTCACCTGGCAGACGTCAGAGCGAATCCCGGTTTTCCAGAATCCCTGGCTGCTTAGCTCCACAGTCACCTCACGCCTCATCGTGTTCTTCTGCCGGATCTTCTGCAGCGCTTCCTAGACAGGGAGAGAATGGAGCTCCCGTGAGGAACCTGCTGCAACCAAGCGCACGGGAGTGCGTTCACAGCATTCTTTCAAGGGTCACTTTTGGGGAAGAGTTTCTAAGACTAGCCCAAACCTTTTCACTGCCAGCCACAAGACTGTGGTGGATGTTCAGTTCAGTGCAGACAGCAGGCGATTTTGGTAGACACAGAGGAGAAAAAAGGCAACTAATTACAGTTTCTGTTGCAAATGACATAAAATAAGCCAATCCTACTTGTACCTCCAATATGATACATATGCATGTAAGTTAAGGTCCTTATTATGAATGCTCCTTCTTTACCCCTCTGTGCAAAATAGCTTCTTCATTCAAGTCTGCCTCTGCGAGTATTTCTGGTTTGAAGTATTCAGTAGGATTGTAAGGTATTCAACAGATAAAGTACAAGAATGCCTTTGTAACGTGATCTCAGCTACTCTGCTATAGTTTCTGCTCGCCAGTCAGTGCCCCCAGTCTGTGAAAGCAGTCAGCATTCACCAGTTCTGCAGCCTAGATCATGAAATCTACTAATATTACTCCAAAATAAAATAAAGAGTAAATATTTAATATAAACATAAACTATTATACACTGTATATTTTATATATTATTATATTATATTTTATATAAATATTGAAATATTTACTAGTCTGTTTTGCCTTGACCACAGGAAGTTTTGTGTTCTGCACACAGCTTATTTGTCTCTATAAATTATGGCAAGGACACTACATTCCTCTAACCTAAGCACTCTTAAAAATTATTATCTATTTAAAAAAAAAGAAAGAAAGAAAAACAGCTAAAATAAGTCACCTACAGAACAGACCTCCTGGCTTGAATTTAGGTTCCAATATTGCAAAGCCCCCAGAGTAGCAAGCTCCCCCACACACCTCATGCAATAACAGTAAAGACTCCCTCAGCGTTTTTCCTTCTTCAGAACAAGAAACTTTTCAAAGCTGCAACCTGTCTTCTCTCTCCCCCTCCTTTTCACTATAGAGTACGTACTAAAAGCAGTCTGCTCCCAGCTCCTAAACAGAGGCCTGTGAGCACCTCTGGGCAGCACCAGGCTCTGTTTTCTGTAGTACAGGGACTTTCAGGATGGTTTCAAGAGAGAGATCTATCAAGATGTAGATTCATCAATCTATTTCTAGGCACTCTGCTGAAGCGTCTAAGGTAGGAGGAGGCTAGTTAGCCCAGGCTCCTTTTATATTCAATGAAGGGGGATAAACTGCTTCAAAAAATACATCTCTTCACTGACTTCAAATTGAGTCTTAGGGTAGCAGCTTCCCAATTTATGCACCCCCTGTAAGTGCTTAAGTGTAAGTGTTAGGTTAGAGGAATAAAGCCCTGAGACATGACTCCATCACATATAATAATATCATACGATCACGAAGGAATGAATGATCAATGGCAGAGGGAATAGAGATGTTTATGGCACTGCACTGGCCCTTGTGTGTTTTCCAAAACTTGCATTTGGAGACTGTGCCATTCGGTGTTTTCCAAGACAGGCACTGGCATTTGCTAGATCTACCCCTAGCTGCAGGCTGACTGGCTCAGAAACACTCCAGTATTACTCATAAGGTGTACTTCATAATTATGAAAAGCCCATGTGCCAGTCAAGTGCAACCTACAGCTCCTGCTAAGTTACTGACACCTCCAGTGTCACAGTGCATATAGGTTATCCTCACATAAAGCTTTTACTTCAGCCCTAAACATCTCTCTGATGGCAGGCAATTACTTGAGAGACCCATCATCCTAGATAATACAGTCTAGAAACAAAAGTCAGAGCACTACAGTTAAGTGATAAATACCAAAAGAACATTTTAGATTTCACAACAAAACACAATCACCCTCCTACATCCAATCCACTACAATTTTCCAAATAAGTCATCCATTAACCACTAATGAATAGTCTTCCTTTCCACTTGATCTCTGAGCATGGAAAACTATAGCAAAGATAAAATCTCCTTTAGGGACAAAACCAATTTCTCATTAAAATGGTGGCAGAGGTAAGTTTCAACATTCTGGTTCTTCCCATTTACAAGGAATAAAGCTGGGTAGTTTGAGGCTATTTAATGTTGGCATAAATAAATTGCTAATTAAGCCCCTTGCTCATATGCAGCAGCACACTATGCTTTACAGTAAGAATAAAATCAGGCGCACTGTCAAATATATCGAACATCTTCCGCCACTATAGCTACAAAATTAGCAAACTGGGAAAAACTCAGAAAAGCACTAGGCTTTGTAATAAATAAATAAACAATACAGCACTACTTCATTAAATTTATTCTGTACCAAAGAAGTTCCTTCCTCCTCCATGTATCCTTTAAATAAGTTGTCCAATTAAGAGTGCCTGGTAGAAATGCCACCAGACAAATGCAAAGCTTCAGTCCAAGATGTTAGAAGATGGATATCTCAGAGCAGGTTGCATTTGTCTATATTTAGGTGACTTTATTTTCCTAATTTTACATTCCAATTGGTTGAGCATCTGCACACAGAAATTGCTCATCACTTTCAGGGAAAAAAAGAGAGGGAGATCAATTTTAACAAACACCTTATTTGTCATTAAAGACTACAGAAAATAAAAACAACTAGATATCAGCTGTTTTTAAAAACCTTTCTCTAGCAAAACTCCCAAACCTCACCTGCCATACATCTAAGAGTTCTGTTGCTTCTGTCTATCACTCAAAAATCTTACAAAATTTCACTAAGACTGCCTAATAAATCACAGTCTAAAAGCTTGCACAGGTGTGGCAGCTTTTTCTGAGGAGAGACATGTTTAAAATTATGAGCAACTTAAAGGAGCTGTCTGAAATGAAAAGTTCTTGTCTATGCTAATTCCTGGAACCATCATTGGCAATGGCTATAGAGTTATGGTCCTACAGTGATCATTTCTATAACTGGGCAAAAAACTTGTGGTAGTGTGAGAGAGGAAAAAAAGGAAAAAAAATTCTGTTCACTAAGAGGCAAAGACAAAAATAAAATCAGTGTAACAGCTTGAAAAGAAAATCTTTTGTAAAAGGATTTCAATTGTTTCCATAAAAAGGGCAGTCTTATGACTTTATTTTATTCTGAATTACTGCGCTGAAGTATTGTTTACAGGAAGACTCGCCGTACCTCTCTTTGCGATAATTTCTGTTTATCAGCCTGTTTGACTTTGGGACTGTTAGCCAGCAGGTGACGCAGCTTCACATAACTCTTCCACAGCTTCTGGTATCTGAAAGACAAAAAGAGAAAACAAATATTTTAGTTAACATAACAAAAATCTCTTGCAGCTTGGCCATATGAACGTCTCAGCTGCCAACAATGTATTTACATACGCACAGTTCTTCTACAGGCATCTTTTCGCTCCAGAGAAATCTCAAAGCATTTTCCAAGAGAGGTTGCAGCATCACTGTAGCTGTCCCAGAGTTGTGGACAGGGCAGCAGAGAGGAGGCATAAGCTTGCTGTGCTAGGCTGGGATGGTAGAGCTTAGCGCAGATCCCCGGTCTCCCAGATACCCACCTGCCCTTGCCAGGAGGTCATCCCCCGCACGCTGAACACGCTTGGCCACAGCTCATTTCAGATATTGCAAAAATCTGAGAAAAGCGCTTTTTCAAGCAGTATAAAAACTCCCCCTTCTCAAAGAAGTTCACCTATCACTCACTGAACAGAAGTAGCAACCTATTCCAAGAAGCACTTGTCCTACATTGGCTGAAACACTTCAGTGACGCACAGGGAGAAAAGCTCTGTAAGCCAGGTGCAACGTGCAGTCATTCTGTGTACAATGAACAAAGTTTGATTCCCTATGGATTCGTGCTGAATGGAGCCTGCAAGTAAAGCTTTTCCAGTGGTTAGGGTATACATAAGGTTTCTGTTTTTCCTCTTTTTGTAACTGTCAACCTGTTTCATACTTCGCAGCTGTCTAATTGCATGTGACCTCAAATGACTGAACTTCCCCCTCACTGGAAGTCCCTCTGCAATGTAACACCCACTTTCACAAAACTTCTAAGCCCTGATACCATGTGTAGACTACAGCCCACCATTGCATTTGGCTACAATTGACACAGAGGTTCCGAGTTATTATGGCCGGACTGACCAAGAGAGTCATGGTATGAACCTTGGCTTCTCAGGAAACAAGTCTATGATCATAAGAGAATCATCCCTACAGAGCTTTTCAAGAAAACCCACAAAAGAGCAGACTTCTAATGGGAAGTAGGGAATTTGGGGACAGAGGGAAGAAGTATTTTATTTTCTCTACTATTTACATTATAAATAGATACTCCTCAGCACCATCTTAGAACAGTGGGTTTAGTGTGAAGTTGCCATATTAGTGACAACCCATTAAAGGCAGCAGCAGCTATTTTACTATTTCATAATCTTTCCAGCACTCCACACTCTCACAGACACATGTGCACACATGTCTTTTCTTATTGGCATTTTTCAATAGCTATTTCTTCATGTCATTCTTGAATGTGTACTATTCATCTCTAGAGATTTTGGTGTCTTCGCTTTTATAAACACATCTGAAATGGCCAATCCATAGATTTTTCTTATATCTGTTCTCTGCGTTTCTGCAGGCTGTAGAATAGCTTTTGGTAGCATATTCATTTCTGATGAATCCCCATCCAAAGAAGAAAAATGAGATAACAAACAAGTCACCCAATTAGAAAAACAAAAGCCATGAGGAAGTTTCCGCCTAAAAAAGAGAACCAGAGACTATGAAGTTCAAAATGGATTTTGCTACTAGTACTAATACAGGTGAAACCAAGATTGAGGAATGATAAACAAATGGACAACAAAAACAAGTGTTAATAAATAAAAAAATAGTGTGTTAGAACCTCATCAAGAAAATATGCACTAGAGGAAACTCTTTTCTGGACACTACATATTTCACACATACATTAGAGTTAAGCCTGAGATTTATGACGGCACCACAGAGGTCTTCCACAAAAACTACTCTGTTACTTCAATAAGAGAAGCATAGCTAAATTATACAGCTTTGGGGGGGGGAAGGGGAATCAAAATTTTAAATAAAGTTAAAAATAAAATATGAGAGAAGAATAATCTTTGCATTTTTATACTGCCTTATATGGAAGATACTACAATTTCACAAATATTAAGAAATTCAGCATCAAAACAGAGGTGGGGATGTATTTTCTTATATTCTTTTGTCTAATTATTCTCCCTTTAAGATAATAAAAAAGAAAGCTAAAGTCATGCCCAAGGTCAAAAAGAAAATGTACTGTTATTTGGATAAGCACTCACCTTTCAATGCCCAACCCTGTAACTTACCTGCCACTAACACCTAAATTTAAATTCACATACAAGCTTCTTCCCCACTCTTAACCTATCAAAGGTAATTCAGAAGTGCTGAAACCGTGCAGAGTTTAGTGAAATCAGTTTCACCGAGTTTGAAGCCTTTCAGGCCAAGAAGATGTAGCTTCTCTAAATGAAAGAGAGAACTCCTGCATACAATCTTGACAAGCACAGAAATGAAAGGCGAGGTAAAAATTTGCTGAGGATATAAAATTATTCAGGATAGTAAACTGAAAAGTCACTGCAAAGAGTTGTAGAACATCAGAGTACCACGCGAGTGACTGGACCAGAAAAGGGCAGATGAAAGTCAATATCATTAAATTACACTGGAGAAAAATTCAAGAGGAAGAAAACAACCTTAATTACACAAGCACAGAGAGGGGCTCTGTATTTCTGTTATCATTCAGAAAAGAGATCTCTGAATCATTGGGAGAGTCCCCTGAAAATATCACAAATTATTAGGAAAAGAATTCATGAACAAAAAACAAAACAAAACAACAACAACAACAACAACAAAAGCAGAATCACTATTATGCCACTATACAAATCCGTGGTGAAGCAGTATCTTCTCTTCTGCCACATTCTGGTTCCTTTACCATTCCTTTCCCTATGTTCCTGCCCATCCTCCTCAACTCTATAAGGATAGGAAAGTTATAGAGGAAAGTGTCAGCAATGGAACAGTTTCCAAGCTAGGAGATAGTAAATGGACTTAACCCCCCATAAGGCATAAAAAGAGACAACTAAGAAGTATATGACAGAGTGCACAGAAACCTGAATGGCATGAAGTAAGCAAATAGGAAGTGGCTATATTATTCATTATAAGACCTGAAGAGCACCTAATAAAATGATCAAGTAGCAGCCGTGAAATAAATGAAAGTGCTTTTTGCTATAATGCACAATAGTCAGGGGGAGGTGATTATCTCCAATCTTCTGACTGTCAGTAGCATAAATAGGTTCAAATAGTGATTTGAGAGGTTCAGGGAAGAAAGGTCCATTCACAACAGTTAAATAAAATGGCATAATACATCTTCTAGCCCTGACGTTCATATGCTACAGACCTCAGGAGGTCTCTCAAAAATCTCCTCTTAAAAATCCATCACCGGCCACTCAGAGAAACAACATGGAGCTAGAGGAACCTTTAATTTGACCTAAAAGAGCTGTTCTCAGGTAGAGAAATTTAATATTGCTTGTGTGTGCATATTTTCTTCAGAAAATTGAAGTTTACAAAGGAAAATCCTGAATTTAGCCAGTAAAACAAATTATACTTCATATTCTCTAATTTACAAAAGCTAGCGTCCAATGTCATAAGCATTAAGCTTTTCATCAGACTCAATAAGCATATAAGCAAGCCCTATTTAAGCCAAAAATGACGATAGTAATGAGTTTCTGAACAAAAGATTGAAGGAAAAGCATCTTACTGAGGATCTCCAGCATAACTGAGTTGAGCAGGTCGTATCCCAAAGTGGACAATAATGGGGAAAGTAATTACATCAGGATTGAACTGTTCGCGGTCCAGTTGATCAATACGAACTGAGCTGGGTTTCTAGGAGGAAAACAAAATTCACCTAATCAACAACGGTTCCATGGAAAACGTATTGTCTCGAGCCCACACTGTTCTTGGGAACCAAGAAGCAGCAAAACTCCAAGCTTATTAAAATAAACATAAAACTAAACATCTATACCATAACCAATATTTAGCAATGGCAACGACCCAATCAAAGTTAATTGACTTAGCTTTTCCAGCAGAAAAAAAATCAGTCTTTTTATTTTCATTTTACAAGTCAGGAAATTTGCATTTTGTTTTTTTCTGAGAACTTAAAGCAGCCGTCCTTGATCAAATATCACACTGCAAATAAAATCAGGATTAGCATTTCAGCATCCAAACTCCCACGTCTGAGTAGTTCACTAGGATCAGGTTAACTCTCTAATTTTACTTCTGCTCCTGATTTCCATCGTAAGTGAAGCCCTTATTAGATCCATTCAATCACACACACTAAATGGCATAAAAACCTGTCGTGTCACTCTTAGAAAAGGCTCCTAGTCTGATGCGTATAACGAGGAATACAGTCTTGTATAATGAGGAAGACTTTTGTCCTTTTTATACTTCAAAATAGAAGTTCTTTTTATAGTTAAAAGGACAGTATAGAAGGAGGTAACTTTCACTCCACCTCTAAGAACGCAGAAAATGAGTAATTACGCATCACTGCAGAAGACCTGCTGCTTGCAGAGTTCTCGTTTGCTTACCAAACATACTTAAAAACTCAATTGAAGGTGCACAGTTTGTCTCCAAGTAAATATTTTCTCGATTACCTTGCAAGCTGCTTTGTTATGTACCCGCTTACTCCCCACCAAGCAATCAGCTGGATGAAGCCAATATTTTCTGCTTGTCTAACGTTCCAGAAAAAGGGCATTACTTTTGGTTACCTGCACCTCAAAACTGTCAATGTAGCACTGAGAATTTATCAAAGATGACTTTCAGAATTTTTTTTACAAAACCCTAGGAAATGGCTCTCACCATTCTTCTAACAAGACGATACGAACCACGGCAAGAACAAAGCTTTAATCCTTCAAATCACCTTTGTAGAACTGTTTACAAAAATAATTTTCTGCACGGATAAACGAAGTCAATTCTGGAAAGAAAGGTAAACCTCCTCAGGTGGCCAAATTACTAACCTACTGTTGAAAAAACTTATCTAAAACTTTGAATTTTCAGATAGAGTCGTATTTTGCAAGGAGAAAAAGGCTTATCAACTTCTCTTTTGACAGGCAGACAAAAGATAAAGTTTCATCTACCCAACTTAAAGAATAATCAAAGATTCAGTTTTCTATGCAAGCTAGCGAAAAAATAGGTTTTCTGCCCAGTACTTTCAATAAAAAAGGAATGGAACAGCAAGATCTAATAAAAAAAAAACATGGAGAGGTTCTGATGCAGGCAGAAGGTTGTTCTCCAAACCAGAGAGCTTAAAGTCATGAAACTGAAGCTCATCTGTTGTTGTGGGCTTTGCACAAACCCAACTTGAAAATTTGTTAACTTTACAGTTGTTTGCTGTTTCTCCCAACCCTTAACATTAGAAATAAAGACATTTTTCCACCTAATTTAAAAAGAAAAAAAATCCAAAACACACACACACAGCCTGCCTTGCTATGCAACAACAATCCCTCTGAGAGCAAAGAAGGCAAAATCTGATTAACAGAATATGAAATAATCATTACCCTCAATATATTGATTAAAATGAATATATTAAAGAAGTGCCGCCCACACTTTCCTATTCAGATGTTCCACATTTTAGATGCCTAAATAGAAGTAATCTGAACCTCAAAAGCGGGAAAGGGAAAGGAGTCTTCAATACACCTAGCAAGGTCTGTGTGAAATGCGTGTGCTCAGCATCACTTAAAACTGGACACTGTCTTTGTGTTTTGTCATTCTGTTATGCAGTTTTTAACAAACGCCTAACAAGAACCAGGACAAAAGGCTTCCTTGTTAAAGATTTATCATAATTGTCCACTCGCTGAAGGTTATGAGAGAGGTTCAACTATGCCATGCTTTAGTTTTTAGCACAGCGAAGACTAGCTTCAGCTCTGTGGTGCTTCTGAAGGTTAAGTGAGTAAATGAATGAAAATTGAGCCTGGATAGCATCACACACAAACATGAGGTATAAAGTATGTACCAGCAGAGAGGATACAAACAAATTAAATGCTATTCTTTCCAATTTTTATCCATCTCTTTTGAAAGAGCTGTGATAGATCATTTAATAAGTACAAACAGAATCTTGCTTTTAACATCTCACTAAAAACAAGGAAATTCTAATGGAGCAGAAGCCCATTATCTTTGTTTTCTACTCCAAACCTCATCAGTCAAGGCCTTGCTCATAAAAGAGGACACGGTAGGACTGCATGTAGAAGTAGTACAAACTTTGAGTTAAAATATATACATATACATACATACACACACTATATGTACTAACAGAAAAAGTAGCAGCATTTTAGGAGTGACATATTAAAAAGAGATTAAAATCTTTGAACCTTTAAACCTCTTCCAAAATAAAGTTTCAAAGAACCAACAGAACACCATGAACATATTAAACTGTTTTAAATAACGTCGAACTATTGTTAGCTGTTTAAGTAAATGAGATTTATATGCCTATCAATTTTTCCCCTTTCTCCACTGTGCATATGTACACCTCACATTTTAAAATAATGCAATACATATAGAAAAACTGGATCTGTTCTCAAGAGAAATTATTCTATTGCGGAGGAAAGCAGCAAAATAAAATTTAGTGTTTTACTTCATTGTGTCAAGTAGATAAAATTGAATTGAAGGGCTGTCATTTTATAAAACAGTTTTACATTGTCTCTATAATAGAACTGTTTCATCTTATAACATGTGCTAAAATGCACATAAAATACTTTCAAACGCTGTTTCTCACTTACTTTTATAATCAACAAAACATGCTGCAATCAACTGAAAAAAAATCCATAGACTAAGGAAAAAAAAATCATTACAACCTTCTTGAGAGAAAAAACATGCATTAAGGATGGCTTTATAACACGACCATGTTTCAAAGTGTTTCAAATTTCTTTTATGCTTATATATTTTGACATCCATACACACCTCTAAAAATATTGCACTGTAGAATGCTAAGCTTGGTAAAATCGCACTATATCACACAATTAACACTAGCACTCACAAACTGCATTGCCTTGTGCATAAAGACGTTAACAGTTCTTGCAGTCACGCAAGAAAGGAGCATATATACAAAACTTTACGCTAAGATATACAAAAATAACAAAAAAGAGCAAGTTTTTAGTGGAAGAAATCAGCATCTCATCTGGATGCTGATGACTGGTACACTACCTCATGCCTTGTATGCGAGTCCATGGAGGCCACAGGCAACGTTAAGTTAGTCGGTTAAGATAGTCTAACAATTTCTGTTATGAAACTCTGATTTAACACTGAGTTTTTACCATCACAAGTAAAATTTTCGATACTGAGAGTTCCCATGTATTGGTGTTCCCAGAGATGGGTTTATTTTCCCTCTTGGTTAAGAAAGCTTCATTCAGAAGGAAAACATTTAGAAGGAAATCAAGGAAAAAAATAAATTATCCTGGCAAGTTCTGATTAGCTTATAAAGTAATTTACTAAATGTAATGCTGCTGTAGTTAAAAACAAGGGCTTGAAAAATACAGCCTAGGCAGTTACCCTGGCTGCAATTTGGAGACAGGTTTTTCAGAGACCAAACAAAATTTCCCTTTAGGAATGATTACAAGTTACAGATTTTCAGGAGAGGCTGTGCAATGAGCAAGGAAGGAAAACAAAGTCTGAGAAGGAACGGTCTTACAATTGAGAAGCCTGCATGGCAGTCTAAAATACAAAGTCTAAAATACGTCTCTACTACTCAGATGCCATGTTTGTGATCCTGACCAAATCACGTACACAAAACCCTGCAGTTCTTACTGGATACCATTTGTTCTTGTGCTCATTTCTAGAGTGTGAAATTCAGAAAAATGGGCTAAATTTGCATAAATACTGGAGCGGAAAGGAGCTGTGTTCTGAGAACATATGCTTTAAAATACTAACAGTTCCAAAAACAAAAAGGTCATAGAGGTTTCAAGTTTGGCACTGAAAATTAATGGATACATTCATTAATGCACATGAAATTCTTTGGTACGAGTGAGAGCAGCAAAGAAACCAGGTGAAAAAACACGCAGGCAGAAAAGACCTTTTACTTATTCAGGGCAGAATCTGGATAGAGCACATTAAATAGAGCTGGGGGTCAAAAGAGGAAGATGAAAGAAAAGCGAAAATAATTACTAATTCTCTGGACCTGCGTCACAGAAAACAGAATGTGATCATGCAGATAAAGACTGCCATAAAAAATATGAAAGCACGGGGCAAACTAAGGTTTCACATAATTAAAATATAGCTATTCCGTATAATGTGCACATTGAAACAGCACTCATCTGGAAACCTCTCCTTCAGTAGGGCAGCAGAGGGTGCAATTCTTGCCAGAGTTGGAACAAATCAATGCACTTTTCCTACTGCAAACTGCAACCATCATTGGTCATCTCTTCCACTTACAATCCAGCCTATAGCAGACTCTCTGAAACAAGACATGCATGTGTCATTGGATTGTTCATAAATCAGAATTCTTTGCTCTACCATGCCAGGGCTGGTAACGATCATCCCTTTGCATTCCTCCGCATATTTCTGCCATTCCAGTTCTTCCCACTGAAGCATGTTGGCAATCTCCTCTTCAGGCACCAGAGCTTTATTGCATCGTAACAAGTAGAGAAGAATCTGATGCATCGACAGTACTTCTTTTCCTCCATCTTAAAAACAAAATGAAAAAAAAACAAAAATCACAACTCAGATATTTGCTCCGAAAGTATTAGCAAAAGAGAAAATATGCAGAAGAAATAAAATATTCAGATGAGTGAAATAAAATGGAAAAACGCTTAAGCAACTTGACAAATAAAAAAGCAAATGTTTTATTGATCGATAGTGCACATGCATAAACACTTCTTTGCTAAACTGGAAGCAATAATGGCAACGGTAGCAAAAATAACAGTTTCATCATACTGCAAAGCTGAAGTTTCCAACTTGCCTGAATAACTTTAAAACAAGCAGACAGAACAGTAAGTTACAATGTCCAGTTATGTCTTCCTTTTCACAATTTTATCACTCCTTCTACAAGAACAGTTAAAAAGCCTTTTAGGCATTTATGCAGCTTTTTTAAGGAACACTCAAAAATTTTACGGCACACTTCTGCATGAATGCAGTAAGTTATCTTTGCATTTTAAACTCATCTGTACTGCTTATGTGTTGTACCTGCAGTAATGAAGACTAAAGAGTCTCATGCTCTCTTTTGTCACTAAATGAACGAAGCACACGTGAAGACTGCTAAATATTTCTGAGACCCCAGGAAACATGCACAGCAAAGGCTGCTTGTTGTGAAGGAAGACAGTATAAAAAACATCCTACCGGCTCCAGGCAGCCAGCAACAGATGTGAAGACGAAAACAGCAAAGGTGAATGAGTGATGGTCCTGACAGACCACCACTCAGAAGACACTGACTATTCAAATTCACTATGTCGGCTCATATCACACAGACATGTTACTACGGTGCTTTAATTTTGACACAAATCTCTCAGACGTCCTCCTTAAATAACAGGGACTGAATCCGTAGACATTGGAGGCATCTTTGAGATTCATGCCCACAGAAGCACAAACATTGATTTCCCTTCCCTAGGGAGGAGAAGTAATCTGGTCCTGCCACTCTCCCTATGACTATACACATAAAAAAGAACACAGAATTAACAGAAGCCTACAAATGATATTGGGGAAGATGATACACCACAGGGAACGTGGTATTAGGCACACATAAAACGTCTCTTGGAAGTGCTGTATCACAGCAGTGCTGATTCTCCTCTACAACATACATGAAAGGATACGCACTTTTACTCCAATTGGGATTACATCACTACAGTATAGAAAAGATGAAGACGAATTATATAAATTGGTATACGAACCTCTTCCAACAATTAGCCTCATTTAAACTCCAAGGGAGAAATCTAAAATGGGGAAAATATACTCCAAACAACAGCAACTGAGAGACAAAATACTTCTAAAAGACCTGTAGAGGCAGAGAAAGAGCCACACAGGTCACCTGAATAGCAAACAGTTCTTCAATTTGTAAAGTTTATCCTAAAATTAAAGAGACTAGAAGATTTTTGTTGGCACTTTTGCCAACTAATAGTTTGCCTTGTTCAGCAAGAGAGAGCCTGTGTCCAGCAACCAATAAAAAGGCATGTGTAAAGTTACTTACTGAAGACTACCAGGGAGAAGACAGGTTGCTATAGATAGTTGTGCTAGGCAGCAGTTCAGAGGCCTAAGCTTTCCTGGGTCAAAACACACCGCATTGTGAAGCCAAAGTGTCTTCTCTAGTCTCGTACTCTCTAATATATTTATCATCATAAAAAGCCAAGAAAAAAAAAAAAAGAAAAAAGAAAACAAGGCAACTATTCTGTGTGCTCTGTATTTTTGGCACTCAGTAAACCTGATATGATTAGCTCAAAGCTCAGACCTACCACAGTGTCTGTAAGTAACCCACACAGAAATACTGACATCACAAAACTGCATTTCTTTAGACTATCTGAGAAAAAATAAGAAAGAAGAGCAGAGGGGATGGGAAATCAGCAATTCATTTCCATCTTCAAGGAGGCAGTTGATGGATGTGTGGGCACCTGTTGCACTAATATATCTTCTTTAAAGAAATACAGATAAATAATCTTCTGTAAACATACCTGAAGGAAATAATTTTTCATTCTCTGGAAATTAATAATCCTCAAGTACATCTCAGCAAATAAATTATTTAAACTGCAAACTTGATTTAAAAAGTATTTATCATAAAGATGCTAAAAGAGAACATGCAGAAATAACAGGAAAAAGCCATTTTTGCTAAGAGCTGGAGGACTGGGAACCTCAAAAAGGAAGCACATAGGAGTGCACGGACAGAGATTTACCTCCCCCATCAATAAACAGTCCAACAACGCAGAAAGAGTTGACTTCTAAACTAAAACTAAAAAAATCAGAACATAAAATCCCCAAACTAACAGGAAAACACCCTCAAGCTACACAATCCAGGCAGGTCAAACTTGTTTTCATTTTGTGATGAGGTCAAGTTAATCAGCCACATGTGGCTTGATGGCTTATTTTGTAAATTGCTTCAGCAGAGCTGAATCAATGTTTGCTAACAAGCCTCAGAGCTCTGCTTCTGATCGAACAGTGTTGTGAATCAGGAAGGAACAACAATCAGAAATATAGTCATCTAGCCATTGGTACTCTCCACAGTAGGTAGGCAAACCTCATTTAGCTACGGCTATAATTAATATTCCAACTAAGTTTCAAAGCCCAGAGCAGAGAGCATCTCTAGGCCACAGTGCTCTTGATGAAAATTGCGCCGTGTCTCAGCTGCACCCTCAGTCCAACAGCTGAACACATCCTCCTGCCCATCCAACCCTTTGGAACAATCACTGGCAGGACCTCAGCAGGACACGTTTTCAGTGGAGGCATGACATTTATATCAACTGAAAGCCTGTCCTATTATCTTAGGATGTGTTAAATGCCTGCATAAGCTGATCACTCAAAACGAGCATAACTCTTCACACAGCAGCTTGTCCTTGGCTTGTAAGCTACAGTTGAATCACACTGAAATGGTGCTTTTCTATCTTTACTGCGCGCTGCAATGTCTAAGCTTAAGATAAATAAACAAACAATCAGAACATAGGCTCAGAGGTGCCAATCTTGCTGACCCTCAAAACTGCATATCAAAAATCTTAATATAATCACATGACGCATATCTTAAAGAGCAGAGGGGACATGAAACTCTGACTGCTTCCTATGTGACAGCAGAAAATGACACTCCTCAAACCCCACCGGCTCCATTGCAGGACAGGGCAAGAATGACCCACCATTGCCTGCAATAGCCACGTGACAGAGAAAAGCTGGATGCAAGACCTGGCCTGCTTATCCACATCCTACTTCTCACAGTTCTAAGCAAAACAGTCAAAATATCAGAGAGTGTTTTAGGAATTCAGATGGAATTACCATATCGCTACAGTGACTGAATCATTTCACTTCTAATAAGCTTTTTCTTTTATTAAGTTGTCATTTCCATAAAGCCACCTAATGCAGTCATTACCTGGAAGAAATCTCACAAATCGCGGCATGAAGTGAAACCTGGGGCAACAAGTAGAATCGTTTTCAAGCGAAGGACCTTAAATACAAAAAATTATACAAAATTTAGGAACAGCAATGTATTGGCAAAAGGAGGAAAAAAGACAGAAACCCTGCCCAAGACAAAATCAATATAGAGTGATAAATTTTATAGGGCCTAAGTTTCAGACAGGAAAGTGGCAAAATGTGAAGCAGAAAGGAACAGAATAACAGCTGCTAATGAAAGCTTCCACATAGACAATTTCAAAGGAAACTGCAATAGCTTTAAAAAACAAACAAACAAAAAACCAAAAGCACAGTTCTATTTTCAAAACAGTGATACAGAAAAGAAAAATATCTGTTTATGTAATCAACGCACTTAAAAGTCTGATTAGAACCCATATATAGACATAAGCACAAACAGGTATTTTGATTAGTCTCTCTCAATTAATAATTTTTTGTTATGATAATGAACAGAGATAACAATGAAATGTCCCAGGTGCTACTTTTGTGTTTTTCCCTTCTTATTTCATTACTCAAAGCTTTGTATGAAAATAAAAATCAAAACACTATGTACCTGGCATAAAAAAAAAATGCAAACAAAACCAGTGATAGGAAACAAAATTAATACTAGAATACATTTAGTATCAAACCAAAGAATGCTACGCAAAACGTATGACACTTGTGTGCTCACTGTTTAGCAAGTACAAAGTACATCTCCATAGACAAAGTCAAGACACTAGAACACACTTACCTTCAAAATTTTCTTGGTTTTCTCTTAGACCAAGTGAAAGGCCCATCTTTGAAATTATCCTTTGTTACAGTCTTCCCAAGAGGACACATTTTCAGCTCACCAAGTTGTAAATACTGAGCTATAATCATAACTTACCCCTGTATGGCTGTCTATATGACACTGCTTTGTAAGCTGACTGTAGAGAAATACTACTGAGTGGGGCAGAGATCCTAGTAACAAAGGATACAGAGAAGGCAGAGATACTGCCTGCCTTCTTTGCTTCAGTCTTTACTGCTAAGGCCAGCCCTCAGGAATCCCAGACCCTGGAGGCAAGAGGGGAAGTCTGGAGAAAGAGAAACTTTCCCTTGCTCAAGGAGGAATGAGTTAGAGATCGTTTAGGCAAACCTGACACGCACAAGTCCACGGGCCCCGATGGGATGCACCCATGAGTGCTGAGGGAGCTGGCGGATGTTATTGCTAGGCCACTCTCCATCATCTTTGAAAGGTCATGGAGAACAGGAGATCTGCCTGAGGACTGGAAGAAAGTAAATGTCCCTCCAGTCTTCAAACGGGGGGGCAAGAAGGAGGAGCCAGGGAACTACAGGCCTGTCAGCCTCACCTCCATCCCTGGAAAGGTGATGGAACAGCTCCTCCTGGATGCCATCTCCAAGCATAAGAAGGTGATCAGGAGCAGTCATCACGGATTCACCCAAGGGAAATCTTGCTTGGCCAATCTGATAGCCTTCTCTGATGGAATGACTGGCTGGGTAGGTGAGGGCAGAGCAGTGGATGTTGTCTCCCTGGACTTCAGCAAGGCTTTTGACACTGTCTCCCATCACATCCTCGTAGGTAAGCTCAGGAAGTGCAGGCTGGATGAGTGGAGGGTGAGGTGGATTGAGAACTGGCTGGATGGCAGATCTCAGAGGCTTGTGGTCAGTGGTGCAAAGTCAAGTTGGAGGCCTGCAGCTACCCGCCATTCAGAGGGACCTCAACAGGCTGGAGAGATAGGAAGAGAAGAATCTCCTGAAGTTCAACAAAGGTAAGTGCAGGGGCCTGCTCCTAGGCAGGAATAACTCCGTGCACCAGGACAGGCTGGGAGCTGACCTGCTGGAAAGCAGCTCTGCGGAGGACCTGGGAGTCCTGGTGGACAACAAGTTAAGCAGGAGCCAGCAATGTGCCCTTGTGGCCAAGAAGGCCAATGGGATCCTGGGGTGCATGAGGCAGAGTGTTGCCAGCAGGTCAAGGGAGGTGATCCTGGCCCTCTCCTCAGCCCTGGTGAGGCCTCATTTGGAGCGCTGTGTTCACTGCTGGGCTCCCCAGCACAAGAGAGACATGGCACTCCTGGAGAAAGTGCAGCGGAAGGCTACCAAGATGATTAAGGGACTGGATCATCTCTCTTATGAGGAAAGGCTGCGAGAGCTGGGACTCTCTAGACAAGAGAAGATTGAGGGGGGATCTTATCAATGTGTATAAGTATCTGAAGGGAAGATGTCAAGAGGATGGGGTCAGACTCTTCTCAGTGGTGCCCAGTGACAGGACAAGAGGCAACGGGCAGAAACTGAAACACAGGAAGCTCTGTCTGAACATGAGGAAAAACTCTTCTTCCCTGTGAGGGTGACAGAGCATTGGAACAGGTTGCCCAGAGAGGTAGTGGAGTCTCCTTCCCTGGAGATATTCAGAACCCGTCTGGATGTGATCCTGGGCAATATGCTCTAGAGGTCCCTGCTTGAGCAGGGAGGCTGGACTAGATGATCTCCAGAGGTCCCTTCCAACCTCAACCACTCTGTGTGATTCTGTGTGTGTGACTATATGAGCAATTTGTCCATATGCATGTGAAAACAAAGAGGACGCTCTGGCCTACAAAATATCTTGCACGTAATACTGGGCAGTATTAAACTCACAGTAATATTTACTGTTCAACTGAAAAAGCGATTTTGGATTAAGGAAGAAATTTAGTTTGTGTGAGAACACAATGCCAAATTTGTGCATTTTTACTGCTGTAACCCACACTAATGAACTTTGATAATTCCACCTTCTTCAGAAAGAAATTCAGGTGTGTTCCTCTCACCTAAAACAGCATTTGACTTTGTTATTTTCAGCCCTATTTTCTAACCAAAGAATATTACAAAAGAGGTCCATTCACCAAAGCTGTGATTACCTGTTGCTGTGTATGGGTTCCTTTTCTAAATAAAATAGTTACCTTTAAGATTCCAGTCATAGAGCTCCAAAATATCTTTGAATAGATAAGAAGAGAACAGCTCAAGACCTCTCACACAAAAATTCTGAGGAAAAAAAATTAAGACAGGATTGTAATTATATAACACTGCAATAGAAATAATGCTACTCAAAGTTAGTTAAATATAGTGAGAAAAACAGTCTCTTCACATTTGCAAACCTCTAGACATTAGACTTTGAAAATATTATTGATGTAACTGTAGTCATCCAGTGCAACACAGTGGCCTCTTCAGAGAGCACTGTCAATATATACTGAGGAATCTTTATTAAACGTCCAAATCCACACCGCAGGCCAAAATTACTGAGGCTATGTGACAATTTACCAGCACCAAAACCCTTTGAACTGAGTAAGCTAAGGAGGTGATATACTTCTAAGAAGGATCTTTCTCATAATTCTCTGTTTCCTATATGTTCATACTAAGAACTTACAAATTAGCATCTGTGATATCACAGTCACCTTCTCAGCAACTAATTGGTACATCACAAATGAACTTAGGAGTCAGCATGGGAAAAAAATAAAGGAAAAAGAAAAAAAAAAAAAGCTTTTCATGAAGTAGGAAAGCAGCTACTCTAAAGCACATAGCTTTCAGTCATAAAGAAGGAACTGTTCCTTTAAGAAGCCTTCCTGAAGAAAGAAAACCACAACAGCTTGATATAAATTGTATGCATATAAAGCTGTTCATAAGTTCCAAACCCAACAATAGAATCTCTTTCACAAGAATGCACAAGTAAATAAGGCTTGCAAGTAGTGCTATAGACACAGCTAAAATACCAGGACTCCAAAAAAATGCCAAGTTTCCTATTTTGCTTACTGGCCAATTATTATTTTAGAGCAAGATTTGGAGACAACACAGCATAATCAATAGTAAGAAGTGAATTGCACTGATCACGTCAATCTTGTTGGGGAATTTTAGGGCTCTTGCATATATTTAGATAAATTTGCTGCTGAGCAACAAAAAAAGAGAGAGAATTAGAAAAAAATGTAAATGTGTGCGACTAAATTAAACACTGATCCTATCTTTGTAGTTAATATGCAGGGGTATTTCTGTACCCAAACATGCTGTTCCACTCCAGCAATTTACTTCACAAACTGGCTTCACCAGAGACCAGTTTGTAATAAAAAACAGATTATGAACTGAATTTGCTTTGTTTGCATCCACAGGAAATTTGTTTTGGTATCAGCTTATATTAACTACTGGTAAGCGATTTTTAGAGCTTCACACTCAACTTTAAAGTTTCAGCTCTGCCATTGACTTATGTGGCCCTTGCAAATCAGCACCTCCACACACCTTTTTTTTAATCTGTAAAAGAAGGATAATGCCTAACTTAGCTCACAGATAGAATACCTGACATACATGGTATACCGCTTAAACTGAAAAGAAGCTACAGGTATAAGCAGTTCTTAGTATTTGATTGTAATATATGATATCCTAGGTAGCTGGATTTATGCTAGTACCTGTGAGTGCAAATTCCCTTTCAGCCATTCATTTAGGATGCAGCGTGTCTCTTACAGACATCACGAGATAGGATTCTGCACAGTTTAATCCATTAAGCACTCCAAGAACTCACAACCCACTCTGACTTTTGACCAATTATCCTTCTTACCTCAGGCATCATCTCCTCAATGAAATGAATTGTGTAGTCAATGTTAAATCTGATTACTTTACATAAAGGAATCTGGAAGGAAAACAGAGATTCAGCATGAAAAGCTATGCAGCATCGACTGTATAGTTAATATAATTTTGTGTGCAAAGGTATTACTGTCTGATCAAGAGGGCGCTTACTAAAACAGCTGTGCATTGAGATCATGCAAAAGACAGGACTGCAAGCGTGTGCAAGGGAAGTCTAATTTCCACCTCTGCAATAACACAGGGCTGACAGGAGGGGTGGTAACGGATGATTAAACAATGCCATCTACTGGAGATGAAGTTTTGATTAGAAGTAAAAGCAAAGCTCAGTAAACCCGTATCTTCTCTCACTTTGAAAATATATAGTTGTAAGTGAATATATTCTTGATGATACAATAATAGGCCAGACTGATCCCGTGACCTGAAGGCAAAGTGTTTTTAGCATGCTACCAATTCTGTTAGCTATACTATCCTAAAATAGGGCTTTAAGTGATGGAAATAGAACACAGGAACTTTCAGGATAGTTTTACAGGTTTACACAAATTTTATCCAACAAATGTTCTTAAAAATTCACTCTATTAACTGGTAAGACAAACATTTAATTCATTTTTGTTATTCATGCTTGCAACGTCCATGGACTTCTGAAGTATTTTTCTTGTTTTTACGCAACAAAGCTCAATTTCTAAAAGACTACAGACATGACTAAATCCCTCCCTACATGTCTACAACTCCTGTAACCGTTAGCAAGTTCTACTACTCACTTGCCCTTGCAAATGTAAGAGACTACCTCAAAACACTTTAGTGACCTATGAAACTGAAGCAACTCAAGGCTTTTATTTTGCATTGATACGTACACAAAAAGACTTGAATAGTACTGGAGATGCACTGAAATCAATGGACTCAGCAGAGGCACAATATTCTGCTCACATCTTCTTGCAGCCCACTGTTAAATAAAGATCTGGCTCTTTTGCCTACATACAGCTGCTGATGGCATGATTCCACCAGCAACTACTGCGGTCATTTTCTCCAACCTGCCACTTACACCCTTGCATAAAGATAAACTAGAGGTTAAGGAGCTAAACTGAAAAAGAAAAAAAAAAAATCATATGCACCACACACACACATACAAGGAAAAATTGCATTTCCTGGGATTTGATAAACACCTTTCTAATATTAAATGTTGTCAAAACAAATACAAAATCTTGACAGTGAGATGTCTCTTACAGAATTTGAAGAAAGGAAAAACTGCCACATTTAAATCAGTAGTGCTTAAAAAAAATACAGGGAATGCTTATTTATTTTCTAATGTGTAAGTTCAACCAAGACAGGATATTCCGATTCAGGAATTTGATAGTCTGGAGTATTTTTCTTTGCAATAAGTAGAAAAAGAATGCTTCAGAGAGGTGACCTCATCCTAATCTCCATGAATTAGTTTCACATATAGAACCAAATATACAATAAAGGAACACTTGGTCAGTACTGTAAAATTGCTTTCGTAATTACATTATGAAAATGATCATTTCTCTTGTGACTATACAAACCATTTCACCTAGTATCCGTCCAGCTCAACTATTACTGGAAAAAAAAAAAAAGTGATAGAGACCTCCAACAATGCACAAGCTAAGATTTCAAATTATATAAACTTGGTTCACTCAAATATGTTAGTGTTCCGATCTCTATTTTTGCTCCCCTTAGTCACCTCCCTTTACTCAAATATGTTCCATAATGCCTCTCAAATAGCAGTTTTCATGTTGCCAAAAACCTCAGGACAGCAAGACAGTCTCTTTTCAAAGGGCTTTATGCCTAGAATGCTGTTGATAACAGAAAATGATGATATGGTATTTATTCCCTTGTGTTCAGAAGTCTGTCATAATAATCAAATAATAGTCTGTCAAATAATCATTTGCTGCTGAAAATCTTCCCCTATACCAGCAATGAGAATTTACAAGGACATTCTGATAGTTTTGTAGCCTCAACACATGCACATTACAGAAAGAGTCAGCTGTATGTGTCCAGCGGCTACTCACGTCGGACCAGAAGAGATCTCTGTCGTTTGAATAGAAATGATTTCCACAACTCTCTGCCTTCCTATCTTACAGCAGCCGTAAAATGATAAAGACAGGGTAGTCCCTATATCCTCTCAATGGGGAAAAAAAACACAACTTTTCGCTTTTTGCAAAGTGAAAACGTAATACCTTGGGCCAAACTTGCTTGAAACCCAAGGCTGAGTTAACGCTGCAGGGCAGGAGTGGTTCGCATTGCAACCCTACCGGCTGAACTCCTCTACCCTCTCCCTGACTTTCCATCAGCAAGATGCCACAGTGCAGTCCCTTCCCTTGCTCACCAAGATTCAAGTGTTATCATACACATTATGTAAGTAAACTAGGAGGAAAAAGAATATTTTCTTCTCAGTGTCTCTCAGTTCCAGAAGTCTTAGGTCCCAATCCTAGAGCCCTTTAGAGCCACTCGTGGCATTGGTGGTGTTCTTAACAGCAGGTATAAAAACAAGGAAACAGATGGTTCCCTAAAGTATTTGAAATAAAGAGTTCCTGAAATACCAAGATACCAAAAAATGCACAGACGCACAGATGCTGGGAATAGTTTCATATTTTCCATTTAGATATTACTGACATACTCTAAATTGGAAAAGCAGGATGATCAGGTACCAAACACACCCATTTTTTGTTAAATTTGCTTTTGAAGTAATCAAGTAATTCATTTTAAATACCTACAGTTTTTAATAAAAATTATAACATGGCCAGTTCCTGAATAAGCTGAGCAGATGTTACAAAGCAAGGGATATATCTAGATAAATTTTTGGAAAAGAAAAATCTCCTAAGAGCTGGAACAGTGAAGAAGTCCAGTTCCCATTTGCCACTGAACAAATAAATAAATAAATAAGTATGCTTTTTTCATTTTTTTTTAAAAAACTTTTCCAAATTAACAAACTTGCTCATCCAATTTAAATCCAATTAACAGTTTTAACAAGTTATTCCATGGATTACTTCACTTTCAAACTGTGAAACACGTAAGAGCACTACTTTGTTGCACATCACAGCCTCAGTCACAGTTTGAAGGCAACACTTACTCCAGTTAGTCAAGACAAAAAACTGAGACTCATTAGCACACGTCTTTCCTCTGCTCCCCATATTGGAACAATGCTTGTAACATACACGTATTGTTGCTGTACAGAAGTGCTATTTTAGGACAGAAGCAGCTTTTCTTCCAGACAAATCCCAGGTATAAAGTAACAAACATACTTACATTTGTTAGTGGGGCATGTGCAAACATGGAGAACCCTTCAAAGATATATTCGTGGTCATCGTATTCAATAACAGTAGGTCTGTCTGTCTAAAAAAGCAAATAAAATCACCGTAGAGTAAACGAGAAGCAGTACTACTTCCATCACTGAAAATAAAATTAGAGCCCTAGTTAGAATTACTTATGACGTACTTACTAGGAAGTTCGTGGGAGGTGACACTGTAATTCGATAGTGGTATAGTCTTCCAGCATTGTTGGTCATGGGTCGACATGGTTTAATGGGCTTAAAGAAAAAGACAAGTAGAATTATGTGGAAAGTCAAGGCAAATTTAGATAAAAAGACAGAATACAGCATTTCTAATAGCCATGAAATATGCACTTGGAAAAATTAAATAAAACAAGTAGTCATAATTAAGTATTCTGGGAAGAAGGAAGGGGGCCTTTTCTATGCTTTCACTTTCAGAAGTATTTGTAAAGCTATTCAGAAGCAAAAAAGGTGAAAAACATAGCTATAATTTCTTTATTTTCCATCTGAGTGTCCATCTCTCTTACACACAGCAGTTAGTCATTTACATACCACACTACTTTCCTCCTCTTTTATAGAAGTTTATTGCAGGGAATTGATTTAAAAAACTTACGAAAATTAAACCTAGACCTTGCATCAAAAGATCTCAAATTATGCTATCAAGACGGACAAGCATCAGCTCATTTGACGGGGGCAAAATCTGAGGCCTGGAGAGAAGAGGAACCCATCATGGCCGAGCGCAACGCCGGCAGCCCTGCTCTGCCTGCCAGGACATGACATCTGTGCTGGACCAAGGGTCCCAACGCAGCCAGCTCTCTGCATGGTCCAATGTGACATCAGACTCCTGGGACTCTAGCGCTAAAGACCTAAACATCCGCAGCAGTCAGATGAGCAGTTTCTCGTGTGGTCCATGCCCGGTCTGTCGTACTTCGGAGGCTAGGCATATATCCGTCCGCAAGCAAAAATCACTGCGGCAAGGGGGCGCTGCCCAAGGCAGCGTTACAGAGGTAGTCTTGGCCGCAATGGTAAGCAAGCTACAGCATTACACAGCTCTGCATAGTCCGCAAAACCCACCCAAAAAGCAGGGCAATTACTCTGGCTCTTCAGCCCCAAATTAAGTTTTTCATTGCGGTGACAAGACAGTCAGGAATCAGCTAGTTTAAAGCCGTGCAGGTTGATCTCCAGGACTCTTGTAAAAACTGGAATATCTTAGGAGATTTTCAGAGGCCTCAAATTCCCAGCTGGACTAGCTTCAGGAAGCAGCTGCCTTCATGCAGCAAGCTTGATATAACTCAGTTTTCTCCTGCTAAAAATCTCTCCCTCCTTCTCTGGGAGAAAAGTACTAAAAATAATGTGGGGGAAGAACTGATCTGGGACTGGAGAGATTTATTGTAAACTTCAGACCAGAGCAATTTTTCTGAAATGGAACAATTTATCTTTTATAACACAAAAACCTCACAAATCCTTAACTGCAGAGAATAAAAGAACACACTCCAGTTCATATACATGTAAAAAGGCGTACCGAAAAATTACAATCTTCAAGAAAAGTTACAATGTTAAATTGTAAAACCTACATATTAACATTCTTGAATGCTTTCACAACACAAAAGTTTTTTATTCTTAAAATAAAAAAAAAAAATTGAGGTGGTCTAAGTATTGTTTCTGTTTCCAGAAACAATACTGATCACACCGTATACTCTGTACAAATGAATATTTCTAAGAAGAATAACCAAGCACTATTTCAACACCATTTTTCAAAGGAAAGGCGCTATCATTATAAGAAAGTGTTGGAGGAGGCTGACGGAGTCATTTTTTCTAATCACATACTTGTAAAGAACTTAATAAATCATTTGGCAGTTTGTGGTGCGGATATGCTCTAGCGCTGAGGCAATAACACCTCTTGACAAGCTTACTACTGCTGCCGGCAGCAAAATTACTAATTTGTTCACTTCTTTTTTCTTTTAAAATATTCCCTTCACAAAGAGGGCCCTCATAACATCCTCACCCATTTGAAGATGACAGAACTTTGACCACATGTTCTTTTTCATTAATGTAACTGTGCTTCAAAAACTTAAAAAATCTAGAAGTAAAATTAAAGCAAAAGTTTTCTCTAGTTTCCAAGAGGATTTTATTACAAGTACTGCATATTAAATATGAGGTTTCACAACTAACTGATCTAACATTGCACACTAGATTTACTAAACCTGTAAGCGAGGAAAAAAACAGCAACCCTAGTATGAGTCTACTACAGCAAGTTTGTATTCATAAACATAATTCTTAGAACTAGTTACCTCTTCACCAGGATAAATGCCATGTCTTATTCCTGTTCGTCGGGCTTTAGCACTGCACTTACACAGCGGTCCATCATTCATCTGTCAAAAACAAAACAGGATTCTGTTTGTATTGAAAAATGGTAAGTGATCACGTCTGGAAAAAAGTATGTTGGTTTAAATGCCAGGAGTGCTGATGCTTCTAAAAGCCTGTCATGCTTAGATTAAGTGGATGTTCTCAAGCCAATAAAGCTGAAAATAGTATAGACTAACGAAAGAAAACTGCACAACAGGATTAGAATTTCATCACTGTTTCAGAAGCACAAGATGGGAAAACAGCTTCAGCAGAGGTAGCACTCTACCATCGTCTATATCTTTTTCATTTCTTATATCTATAAACAGTATGCTATCTGCCTACAACAAAATTAAGGGCTTAAACATACATGTGCAAATATGTACATGGTGAAATCTCCATGCTCTAGCAGTTCCGCGCAGTTCATTGACAGAAATCCTGTTCCTAAGTTGTCTGCAATGTGATCAGGGTATCACCCGAAGTATGTAAAGCAGAGCATTTGAAGATTATACTTGATACTTTAGAGAAGTAATGGGAACACTTCAAATATGCCCTGTGGACAGATCACTAAAAAGGGGAGGTGGGGGGGGCCCCGCGGGAAGAGAAAGGGGAAAATATCCACTTCAGTACTCTATATGGGTGCATCAAGTAGTTATATTAAAAAGTGTCACTGCACTGAGCATAAAAAGCTAGCCTCTCCCTTTTCATCTGTATGACTGAGTTCAATGCAGGCTATCATTCACTGCAGTCCCTAAAGCTTTCTGCTGTTAACATCATGCCCACTGCAGAAATCTAGCAACCACCAGAGCCAACAATGGAGGAAAAAAATCAGGTTCTCAACCCCAGGCTTTAACAGAGTTCTTGAAAGTTTGAATCCAAAAACTGAAATATACTTTATAAACTTAAAAGAAAAAAAAAAAAGAAGAAAAGCACACTGCAATGTAGCACAAAAACTTGCAGAACTTTTCATACCATTATAAGCAGCCAGCAAATCTCAGCAGCGTTCCACAGCGGGGCTAAACAGTATCATGAGACAGCAGAGAGAACGTGAAGGAGGTAAGAACTACCAAACCGACATTACTGTGGCCTTCAGACAGAGGAGAGAGGGACCCAATTTTTTAGTTTTGAGGTTAATTTTCTGAATATTCATCTCGGTTTAGTTTCTTCAGACTGGCACAGTGCGCAAATGCAAAGGAACAGAAGAAGCAGAACCCCTCTGCTCTTCTGGGAACTTAATCATGCAATATTAACAGCACAGTGACACAATGTTTTTTGCTCACATAATTTTTCACACATTGAGATCTTTGAGTAAAGCACAGCCTGAATGAAGTTAGTTCATTCTTAAAGGTAAAAATATTCTTCTTCACAGGCTCCTATAGTTACAGAGGAGAGAGTTAAATAAGGCAGTCCAATTTGTTCAGCACTCCCTAAAAAATAAGGGCCTGCTCGGGGTATCAAAATAATCATCACTTACTTTAGAAAATATTGTCCTTAATTCTTAGAATTGTTCGGCTCTAACGCTGCTTCTATTACGTTAAATGCATAGACAGAGACTTACAAAGATATGCAGCATCTATAAAGCCGAGGACTTGGGATGCAAATCAGATATATATCTATCTTGTTTCTAATGGCAGAACTCATTGAAAAAGATACAGATGAGAGGTGCAAACATGAAGTGGTAACAAAACGATGCTAAAAGATCACCATTTTATGTAAACTAAGGCAATGGTTTCTAACTCTCTGACCAACAGGGCAACAAAAACAAACAAGTAACGCTTGTAAGCAAAAAGATACTTTCTGTGGTGGTATCGGTTTAAAATTTTTTTTCTTCCAACTGCAAGTACCTTGCAGATTACCCAAAGTGACACAGCGCTCAGAGTAAAGGGTCAGAAAGATCCGTCCTAAAAGCCTGGTTACATGTTAGATGGTGCACTTGTATGCGCCAGTAAGCATGACACTCGTTCCTTCCTGTTTTATTTAGTGACGGTTTAGAAAGTATTTTGGAACACCCGAATAAATGCTAAAGAAAACAGGAGGACAGCAAACACTTTTAAACATATTCTACTCAGAAGCAGTGCAGCATCGACAAGCTTACTGCGATACGATTTCAGCCCCTTTTGGAAAAATAAGGAGGAGTAAACAGCAGGAAAGTTTGCAAGAAAGAATGGTTTTCAGTAGAAAACTCATAAACTACACGTTCCCGAAACTATTTATCCCCCAGTTATTCCACTTATTTTTATCTAGCCGATATTCTGGGCTAGGACATTACTCTGAAACGTGCCCAAGAGCAATATACAATAAATACCTAACCAATTTACTATTTTTTCCTATGGAAATAAAAGCAACTAGCTATGCTGATTCAAATTATTATTATTATTTTAACTAGAAGTATAACTATGAGTTGGGAATAGAAGATTCAGCAAACCTCTGAATTACCACAGTGGCCGTAAGTACTGTAATATCTCTTGCCATTATGATTTGCTGCATTCTAAACTCATGCATCTCCCAAAATGCCAGAAAAATAAATTTACTGAGGTGCCACTTCACAAAGAGTTAGAATGAACTATAAAATATTTAAGAAAGAAAGATGAAGATGGCAAATTTGTAAGCAAAAATTAGTCTTCTGTGCAACGCATACATTCAAAACAACATTTAATGAGCTCACCAATTACATTTAATGAGAACTATAATCTCCATGCAACTACAAAAGAACCATTACAAAAAAAATTAGGAACATTAAGAGCATATTTAAAACATTATTTATCATTATGAAGTGAGAGCCTTTAAGTAAATAATCTGTAAAGGAGATATATATGCTGCCTTTTCCCCATCCCAGGATTCATCTGTGTACCTTTATCTCAGGTAGGAAAGGACAGCTTTAGTACACAGCTAGCAGTTCAGGTGACTAACACCGTCAAACGTGATTCCAATCACACGCTTGAAATCAAAAGTGATGTGCTTTGAATAAGATGAGGAAGAAAGCAGAAAAGGGGGAAAGCGCATATTGAAATAGATGTAATACAGCATATTTGACAATAATGCTGAATTTTAGGTCTCCAGGAAATAATATGACTTTCAGAAATACAGCACTTTTTCCTCTTACCATACCTGTCCCGGATCGTTGTACCATAGTTCTTCATGAAGACGATCAGGGTGTGCTTTTTTACGCTTAATTTCTGCGATGACGTCAAAAACTTCAGAATCCGAACTGCTAGAACAGCTGCTGTCATCATCAGAGTCACAGTCTGAGTCACTGGAGCTCTCTGATGCACACAGAGAAAATAAAGATAGCTGAAGAACACTTCCACATTTTATTTTCCCCAGTAGCAATGAATTTTGCCACGCAGCAAACCGTGGCATACTGAAAGTTATTGAAGACGTGCATGACGTTCACACCGATGAAAGAGGGACATTTCAATTTTTAATTAAAAATGACAGCAAATGCTATGGATATTAAACGCCTACATCAACTGCATCTGTTTGAATGCCTCAGAGACTGTTGTCTGGCTGTCCAGGAGCACCAATGATCAGTTCTAAAAGACCAATTACAGCCACCTGACATTAAAATACTTCATGGAACAAGGTTATAGAGCTATAACCAACACAAGTATTATCCTAAAGTTAAAAAAAGGGGGGGGGGGAGGAGGAGAGGTAAGAGAAAAAACATACATACAAATACACAAAGATGAGCTAAATAGCACCTCCTGTTCTTTAGAAGTCAATTCTGATTGCTGTCAGCATAGTGCTTGCATCCAGTTTCATCTAACCTGATAATGCCTCCTGTCTGTACTAGTACATTGTCTATACAAGAGGTTTGAAATAGCATGCACAGACAGAATTATTACAAAACATGTATTGTTAGAGAAGACTACTGCTAGGTCTGTTTCAAAATCAAGTATTTCTACTAAATCCATTATCACAGCTTAGAAATCACACACAAGAGGTAAACCTTGAAATTATTCGTTGAGCAAATCCAGTCTGAAGTTTTTAGAAAGCTCTGTTCTGTGAGTTTTCTTCCTTTTTTTTAACTTTTTATTTTGTATTCTTTAACTGAAACCTTGTCATGTATCAGAAGGGGGGAAAATGCTAGAGAGAGAAAAAGAAAAAAGCAGGACAGAAAAAGGTCTCAGGCCTGTTACAGTCTCCTTCACCTTTTTGCCAAAGTAGCGTTATTAAGTGTCTGGATTTAACCACCCAAAACCCAGAGCCTGATCTTACACGTCTTTGACCTCCTGTGCACCCCTTTTCTTACATATGTAACGTCACTGACTTCCACAGGTTTCCTCAGCTCCAACTTAAATATAAATAATTGCCTTCATAGCCAACACACACACTGCTGCACGATGCAAGTAAGGTTTATTATCCTTGGAAGGAGGGATGCAACATTCCTTCCAATTCTAAGTTTCGGCTTTACAGAAGACAAATTAATATGCTGCCATAGCTTTGAAACACCGTGAAACTACATTGTAAATTATGTGCATTTGTTAAGTCCAAAATTCTTCTTAGTGTAAACAAAAAAGACAGAGAGAGTGAGAGAGACAAAATATTGCTAGCAATACATGCCTCCCTCTTCGACTAGGATGTATTTTTAAATGGTCCCTAATTCAGTAGAAACTATTACTATAATGAAATCCTTGGGACATATGGTTTACATGGTATATATGTTCAGTTTTACATGGTATATATATTCAGTTATCAGCAAGTTTTGTCTGCGCATACATGCGCACTCACCCTAAAACATAAACACCTGAGTTTTAAAAGTTCTCTTATAAACATTAATTCTGCACATCTAATTTTACATGCAAAATGAGTGTTGGACCTGTGAGAGTAATCTGAAGTTCTGAAAGGCAAATGCACAATTTCTAGATTTCATGTATTGAAAACAGCCTTTCATAACCTGCAAATGCTCTCAGAGTTTGTTGGTATCTCACTGCTAAAAAAATTAAACATCTAACCACTGCTAATGGAAGGCAAGACAGCATTTCCTGAAGCAGAAAATAAGACAAATTACTAGATGCAACACAAGTATGGTTGCAGAAGCCTGAACAGACAGCAAGCCAGTCTGTGGGACAGCGCAGAGACAGAGCCCCCAGTCTTCCAGAAAGAGAGAGGGAAAAAGGAACACAGCTAACTTACTCTTGGCCCTCTCATATTTTAGGCTCGAGCAGTGAGGGAACTCTTTCTGCAGAGATCCGAGGAAGCAAAGCTTTATACAGGCAGGCTGGGTGCAATGGTTTTGTCCTTCCTTCACCCATATGAAACTATACCTCCTGCCTACTTTGTCAGTGATTCCTGAGTTAATTAAAACATGTATATTCACTATTCCAAAAATGTGTGTATTTTCTTTAGAATACTGAATTCCCATTTTATTTAAGCTACGGTTATTTTTTCTTTCACCTTTATGATATTATTTCGTACTGTAAGCACATAACTGACTATGTCATTATATACCTGTACTTCAATCTCATCTTTACGATATTGGATTGTAAAAGTGTTACTAAGCTCAGATGTGAGAGTCCAAAGCATCTCAACCGTCAAATACGAAGCACCAGCCAAAAAAACAACAACAGAATATCGTAATTGTTCTGCGTAAGAGTTTCCTGAACTGACACAACTGACCGGAAAACACACTGTGAAACACTGAAATGCTTAAAACATAATAATAAGAATAGCTAACAGGTCTCAAAAAACAGAAAAAACAGCTTCCACTGACTTCTGAGTGGATGAATTGCTATCAAAAGGTACGCCTGCTAATTCAACCAGTATTTCCTCAATAACTGATATAGCCAGCAAATTCATTTCACTGCAAAAAGAGCCACGTGAGAACAATGATAACTCACATAAACTGTGTTTTGAAAATAGAAAAACTTTTCCATTCGATCATAAGCAGCAGAGTTGCACAATCAAAACACAATCCAGACGGAAAACGAGCCCAACACCGTAACAAGCTGCCACATGAGTTTATCATTACTACTCTTGCTTCCTTTTAAAAAACGTAAGACCAGGAGCTCCTCAAAGTGTCCTGTGTCCCATACTTTGGCCTATTTGATCATGCCAGGGTTGGACACGGGGAGATTTCATGCCATGGAAGAGACTTTAGCATAAGACTGTGCTGCATCTTCTTCACTCTCCCTTACCCTTGCTGGGTAAAGAGCCTAAGTCTACTTCAGTCAAAAGCAACAGTAAAACTCCTATGGATTTTCAACATGGAAGGATTCAATAAGAAAGGATTTAAAAACATGTGTTAGCCTACTGACATCATTAAACACATACAAGTGCAGAGAAACAGATCAACTACAGATCATTACATTTCAGAGCTCTGCCATCATTTCTGCCTACCTAAGTCTTCATCCAGTTTGGTCTTTGGTGGCTCCCATGGTGGCCTGGCTGCTTTGGCCTTTGCCTGCCGCCTTCCTAACTCCTCCTCAAACTTTTCATACAGATCTCTGAGCTTGCTTGTTCCTACCACAGTAGAGTCTCCCTGTAAATTAAAAAGGGAACAAAAAACGAAGACAATGCTGAAATAGTAGTTCCTCTGAACATGGTAAGTGTCATCATTTTACAGAGAAAGGCAAGGAAAAAGCAGACAAAACTCAAGTGCTGTAGTTCAGTAAGACATGAAAACACTTGATAAGGCTCTAGCATATGGTTACATTCCTCCAGCAGGTAAACGCACAGAGAAATAAGTTCATTTGCTGGTACTTTATCATCAAATCTGTGGCCTAGCCAAGGAGAACTACGGCTAAGCATATTTTGGATGGATCAAGGTTGATTTTTAACAACCCAAATTAAGAAGAAACAGTAGATCTTTTGTGTAAATAGGTAGTAATTCAAAACAATCTTATTGCATGCTAGAAATACAAGAACTTCAGCTCATTTTGCTGCCTGCTTTGAAACACTGATTTCACCAAAACAAAAGAAAAAACAAAACAACATTGTTCCCCAGCAACTATTATTGTGAAGTGGAAACAATCCTGACTTCCTGCTTCTGTACACAACTTCTCCAGGGATGACTGAAGATAGGGTAACGGAGGTAGTTTTGCCCAAATACAGGTATAATGGAAAAAATTTTTTCTCTTGGAGACAAAAAAAATCCTTCTTCGATGTGCCACTAATGTAAATGAAAACAGACACAAGAAACGGATGAAAATAAAGAAGAACACTGCCAAAAAACACCCTTACCGCACTAAAAGACTGAGATGGTTGGGAGGACAGAAGGATTAAACACTGAATGACACAAAATACGACCCCACTGAAGTGTTCATAGTAATCAAGTAATTGAATAAACAATAAAGGATGATGCACAGCATTTTAGAGTTCTCTCTCAAACATACCACTTGATCCATAGGGTCATTTGAATAATAGCTTTCAGAATGGGTACAGCGAACCCAGACTGGCTTAAGTAATTCATCATCTTCCTCTTCATTTTTTTCAGATGCGTTCTCCTCTGACTCTTTGTCTTTGATAGTGGTATAATTCTTCTCTTTGCTGGTACTCTGGCTCTCAGACCACCTCTCTCTGTCCTCCTCCCATCGGGGTCTCTTTCTCTCTCTGCTTGGAGAGCGGCTTCAGGAAGAGAAAGCAAACAAACACAATTCTCTTTGGTATTCTAATAGTGATAGCTTTATAATGAGAAATAAATAATTTCCTTCAAATCAGTACATCATTTCTACCACATAAATTATAGTGTAATCCAATCGCCTCTTCCTGCTTTTAACTTGTGATCGTAAAAACAACTTCGCAGTCAGACCTATCATAAGAAACGGAATTAATACTGAAAATTGAAATTCTCTATTTTAAGCCATATTTCAGAATTAGAATTTAAAAAATGGCATTTTAGATTAAAATTCTTATTTGCATGCTAGATGAGTTCCTTCTCCTCCCCCTTCCCCAATTTTGTTCCTAGGTTTGAAGTGCATCAACTAAAATTTACAATGTTACAGAGTTTTAACACACAATCCATAAACTATTTGTACAACATAAGAGCCGGGGTTGTATCCAAAGGATTATACACAAGCTACCTTGCTTGTGTTAATCTAACTCTTGTACTCCTCCGTACAACGCAATCTATGATATTTCTTATGTATTGCTAGGGTAATGCTTTGGGGAAGCTGAATATAGGAAAACTGCTTTTTTTATTCCTCTGCCTACAAAGCCAATAAATCATATTGCACTGAAATCAATTACCAAGGATTTGGAAGTAAAGGAACAACAATACAAGAAAAGTTCCTAAAAGGTATTCTAAATATAGCATGACTTTAAATAATCTTGGTTCTTTTATATATAGACTAGAAGCAGATGTAAGAGGGAGTCTTCAGAATAACGCAGGGAAGCCCTCTTACCAGACCAAAAAAAAAAAAAAATCCTGTTTCTAACTCTACAAGGCCTTGATAACAGTGACTTTGAACGTATATGGAGATGGTTATATTCCTAAGACTCAAGTTCTTTCTGAGTTTCAGACCAGTCAGATATGCACTTATTATACATGCACAAGTACACACGTGTGCATGCACCGAGCCTCTTAAGCATGTGAAAGACCAAATGTACCACCTTACCTTCCTGTTCTCTTGTAATCCTTTTTGTAGGATCTGTCTGGTGATGGTGATCTTCTGCTATCACGGTGCCTATGCCTCTCCCTCTCCCGCTCCCTTAAGGAATTTAAAACATAGGTTAAATAAGAAATGTGGCATTTCTTACAATTCACACCTGAAAGGAGCACAGAAGCAGGATGAGATCATTTGCCAGTATTGTTCAACATGACACGTGTGCCAACTGCTACACTTAAAGAAGCCTAGAAACTCTTACTGCTGACCTTCAAGAAATTTGGAATAGATAGTCAAAGTGGCTTCATTTCCAGAGACACTAAGTGTAAATCCATGTTTCACATGTGACGTGGCAAACCTCAGATCTTCTACAAATAGACCATGTGATCTAGGTGCACTGGCAAAAATTTAGATTCTTAACTTTCAGGTATCTCATTTTGAAAATCCTGACCTAAATCATTAGTCACAAAGAAAGGCATTGAGAGAGCAAATCAAAGAGATGAGGAAGACAAAACTGGCAATGGTTTGCTCTAAAACACTATGCAGCAAACTGCTCAGGTCAACTCTTGATTCATGAGCTGCTTTTATCTATGAAGCAGAGGGGCAGAAGCTTCATGAGACACCCCAAAATAAGCTGCTCACATTCATCCCTCTGAGTCATAAGAGGATGACAACACAGCCTACAAGTTCTCTGTTCATTTGGACTACTGCATGCTGATTTTCACCTCAGTCCTCTGCAGATCACAGGCTCCTTGCTGAGGTCTTCATCCTCAACAGAATCACACAGGCAGGTCTACACATCCACTGGGACGGAGGTGTCATGAAGCCCACGCACGCTTGCGCAGGTCTCCCATGAAGACATGGATGCAGCGGAATGAAGGACACTCTGCAACATTCTTTTCACTAGAAAACTCATTGCCAGTTTTCAGGAATCAGACTTGTGCATCTATCGGACTGTAAACCCCCCAATGAATGCTGGCTATCTACAAAACACGGGGCTTACTCAAAGCAGGGCCGTGCCCAAGTAACAAGCCGTATTCCAAGTCTGGTACCCAAATCTCGAACTTTGAAATACTAGGACTTATCCATTTATAAGGCTGAGATTTTGAACGTAGTCTTTTGCATAAACTTGTGCCTACTCTGCTTTCAGGACACAACTGCTTAAGTTTCTGTGGTAAACCCCACTGACAGCAGAGTGCTACTCAACAAGCCACTCCGGGCTCGCTTCCAGCTTCTTCAGTGGACAAGGGGAGCAAGTTTACCTGCCTGCAAAGATGGGGCAGAAACAACGTAGCTGGAAGACCGGAAAAGCCCTGAGCGTTGACTACATCCTAAGCTAGGAGAAAACAACATGGCCGAGGGATGGACACCTGATTCAACCAATCTGTAGAAGAGAGACCACGTCTCGCTCTGCAGGCAGAAGATAGGCCAAGTTACCTGCTACGCTCATAACTTCTATGGTGAGGTGATATTCTTCCTCTGTCATAATCTGTCCGGTGCCGACTGCTTTCTTGCCTCCTCCTGTCTGGACTCCGGCCTCGATCCCGCCGGTCCCCATGGTTATTCGACCGATGCCTGTCACTGTGGAGGTGCCCATGCTCACGATGCCGGTGCTCGTCGTAATGCTTGCTCCTCTCTGGAGACCGTCGATCGCTTTGCGACTTCTCTGCCTGGTACTGATTTTTGCTGCCACTGCTGTTGGTAGCGCTGCTCTGGAAAGAGCTGGAATTGTGCTGATAGCTATTGAAGTTCGGAGGGGGGAATGACTGCTGTGAATACCCTGCGGAGTAAACAGGCTGGTAGTTGACTTGCTGCGGTATGACTGGGGGTGGGGGAGGATGCGGTACTGTCGGGGGCGGCATCATGTAAGGAAATGTGTTTTGCCCCGTCGGAGTTCCTGGCACAGGAGTATTGCTAGGATTTGGCACTGGTGGAGGAGCGGGAGGGAAGCACGGAGGCACTGGGAAACCCTGCCTCATCTGATGGTTTGGAAAAGGTGGCCTCATGGGACACTGGCTGATGGGACTCTGTGTGGAAGGGGGCACTGGAGGAGGATACGGCACAAAGTCTGGCCTGGGAGGCATGTAACCAGTGGCTGGAGGGTTTGAATAGGTTGTCGGAGGGGCCGTTTGCTGGTCATACTGGTATTGCACAGAGGGCTGCTGTGGGTGAAGCTGCCGTAGGTTCTGAGGTCGGTAGGTCTGTGTTGAAGTTCGTGCTCCTGGTCCCCCCTGGCCGCGGGGACACCCTCGTCCGGAATGGAAAGACATGGCTCACCTTTAAAGAAGAAAATAAATAAATGTACAGTGTCACAAAGTTTTTCTATGAGGTTCTTTGGAAGTAGTTCCAGGAAATGCACAAAGTGCTTAAATTATGATTTCTGCAGTTTCTTTTAATAGGAGCAGCAGATGACGACCACTGGCTTTCATTGTGAGCTTTGTGCTCCTCAGTGCTGTAGTACAGGTCATTATTCCCCCAAGATTCCCCTAAGTCTCTAATCCACTAATGCACTCTCCTGCCTCTAATCCAGAATCCAGGTGGGACCATACCCTCATGGTCATGGATGCTTTAATATAAAGTCTTCAGACACCCACACCAAAGAGATCGCTCATTTTAACAAAGGTAGGAGTCATCCAAGGTCTTACATCGAGGAGTTCTTCCTAGAACACTATTCTAAACTTCAGGTAGAACAACTTTACTAACATGCCATCGTGAGTTGCCTGGTCCAGTGAAAAAAAAATCACATAAATCTTAAACAAGATAATGGGAATTTATATTCACAGTTAAGTCCCAATTTCGTACAGGACTGAATTCAACAGATATTTTAAAGTTAGGTACATAAAAATTTACTGTGACCCACAAAAACGTACGTGGACTGTGGTTTGTTCCAATTTCAATAAACAAACATTTTCAAAATTCCTGAAGTACCTAATTGGCCGTGTTACCTTGCTGGCAATAGGCACTGCTCTAAGCGGGCTGAAGTCTTGCTCAAAAGCATGTGTTGTATGTAATGTACTACGGTATTAAAGTTTAAAAATGAAAACTGCTGTGGCATATTGAAGTTAAAATTAGTTTTTCATTAAAATGTTCAAAATTCAAAAACTGGGAAAAAGGAAAAAATATTTAAAATAAAACATCAACAATGATATGTTGGGTGGAAGGGAGGGAGAGAGGGGGAAAAAAACAGTTGATCCTGCAGCTGCAAATGTCAAATCCTGTTCTCTATAAGAGAGAGACACATAAACACGTATGCGGAAAGATCACCAGACACAGAAAACAAAGCCTCCTTTTTACAGTGGCTTTACCGATGCAGAAGTACACATAGGGAATAGTCTCCCACCTGCTACCCTGTAACCCGGCAAACGTGGGCTGCTCAGAGTACTACTTTTGGCTGCATTCTGGTCCCAGCGCTGCAAAGGATGAAGCTTGCTGACTGATGCCAGACTTCTGCTAGTGAACCGAAGGGAAAAAACGGAAAAGAAATGAAACAGGGGGAAAGGATGCACATTGAGGAAGAGGTACCAGGAGGACCCCAAGTCTCCCGTCCCATGCTCAGGGCTTGGTTGAAGCCACTGGAAGTGGTGGTGGGGCATTTCCTCCCTCGTTTGAGCAAGTGGACAACAAAGGCCAGCAGGATAAGGGCGGATCAACACGTTTCTAGGAGGTAGCAGACATGTAAAGCCACTGACTGATTCCTTCCAGGCAACCTCGGTCTGTTCAGTACCCTCAGGTCTTTTAAAGGGTCTCAAAAAGAAATGACAGGGAAAAAAAAATCTACTCCACACCTTCACGAGTTTGTCTGGCAGCAGCGCTACTTTCTGTCATCCTTAATTCTAGTCCATTAAACGCTGGACCATTTTTCCTCAGGTCAGCAGTTATAACTCACCTAGCGCAGGCTTCTGCCAGTACACTGTTTTGTGCTTTGCTGACATTTACATACAAATTTTATTTAAACAGGCTGAGCCAATCTTTTATCCCCTTGAATGAAGTAAAGGGAAACCCACTGTACTGTACTGTACTGGTGCCTTAACGTAAGGCACGTTTCTTCTTAACACGTGCCAGTGCATTCAAACAAAAGGTCTCCTTTACCAGCTCTCTCCGAGCTTATCTGCACCTTCAGAGGTTTCCTCTGGTTTCTGCGATCACAGTTCAAGCACTTCAGAACGCACCGAAACGCAGAGCCAAAGGCAGCAGGGAAGGCAAAAAAAAAAAAAAAAAAAGTTATTTCAGGTTATTTTAAAGCTCCCGCTGCTGCAATTTTTCACCGCGTTCAGGTTCGCTTTGAACTTCAGTGGGAAAAAACCGATGACGAGTCATGCCCTTCCTTCCACCCACAAAGAGAAACCCGTTGCGCCACACGGACACGGACACGCGCGGACACCCGCCCCGGCGCAGGGCCGGCGCGACGGGG